AAAATGGACACGTATTTTGGCAACGGATACTGGTATTGGATCAATCCAAGGAATTGGGCAGACGTTTGTTCAACAACTTAAAGTTACTGTAGGTAATACAGAGGTTTATGATAGCGGAACACTTTATCCTTATAAATCTTATTTAACAAATGAACTCTCATTTCCTGAGAATGTAAAAACAAATTTTCTTTCTTCCATTGGCTATCGGTTGAGCAATAAACATGATGATATTACTGATCATGGTTTTCTAGAACGTTGCTCGATTTTTAAAGAAGGAAAGCGGGCCCAGTTCCTTTCTCGCTTAGATTTTGATTTGGGGAATCAGGAATTATTTTTACTCAACAATCTCGATATACACTTTAGTATCTATCGGTCCAAAGATGCTTTTGCTTTACAGAAATTAAATCCTGGGGATGAGAATCAATATAGAATTTTTGTCCATGATGTTAAATTGCTAGCGAAAATGATTGAGGTTCAACCCTCCCTTAACATGAGTATTTACAAAACTCTGGAATCAAAGCCGGCTACTTATGCAGTGAGAAGAACTGAGCTTAAATCTACTTTCCTCAGTCCCGGAAGAACCGAAATTGAATACAATGCATTTAGTTCAACCATTCCTAGGAGAATTACAGTCGCACTTGTTGCAAATGGAGCATTTAACGGGGACATTAGTCTTTCCCCATTTAATTTTAAACCGTTCAATTTGAGAGATATTTCGGTTCATACTGGCGGCCATATTTATCCAATGGTCTCCTATAAGCTTAAATTTGACGAGGATATTTTTGTAAGGGCTTATGTTGACATGTATGAAGCATTAGGGATGGCCAATTCTGATAGGTCCTTTGACATTTCAATGGCCCAATTTAAATCAGGCTGGAGCTTTTTTGTTATTCCCCTAACGTCTACTTTAGATGATTCTTGTGGTTTTGAGCTTTTACGTAGCGGAACAACAAGTGTTCGACTAGAATTTAATTCTCCAATTCCAGCAGGTGGTGTTGAGATGATTATTATGGGCGAATTTGACCAATTGCTAATGATTGATTATAACAGACATATTGTTTCTGACTCTACATTAGGTTAATACATAACAGTATTCCTAATTTTGGTAGTAACAATGAACAATACAAGCTACATTCCTTACGACTTTTTATCTCTTGATAGAGAATACTTGGAGGGTAAACAGGGGCAAACAATAAGTACAGGATTTCCCATTATTCTCGTATTATATTCACTTTTATTACCCATCCTAATCATTTGTTGGGTTTCAACAATAAGATATTTACGCAACCGCGGCTATTTAACCAATAGCGAGGCAGCGGATATTGTCCAAAATTTTCCCCTTATTTCTACAAGGGACCAAAAATAATAGTTGGCCCAACTGAGAGTTTATAGGGTAGTTGGTCAAATGGCGTTTTATAGGGTAGTTGGCCAGTTGTGGTTTTATTGGTTAGTTTTCCTGCTGAAGGAAATATAGAAAAATAAGAGAGGAGAGAGTGTACTTTCCTAAGAGAGTACACTCACTCTCTTCCCCCGCAGCTGGGTGGCTGTAGTTTGTGACAGCCATCCCGCTGCCACACTATTTTTCTTTTCTCTAACCCAGACGGCTGGGTTAGAGAACATTCTCCCGCACTGACTCAAACCTTTTGAGTCAGTGCTGTCTCTCCTTATTCAACACACTATCTCCTTATCTTCTCTTTCTATTCTTTCCTAGCGGGGTTTTAGCGGCGATTCGATCAATAATAAATTTTTCCACTGCAACTAGCAGGGTTAGAGAACATGCGCTGACTCAACCAGGTTGAGTCAGTGCTGTCTCTCTTAATTTTACCCAATATCTCTTTATTTTCTTTTCTATTCTTGCCTTGTGGGGTTTTAGCGGGGATTCAATCAATAATAAATTTTGCCGTTGAAGCTGGTTAAAGAGAGGAGGAAACCAGCCGACACATATTTAATTTTATTCGAAAGCTATTAAAGCTCGCGTGTGTGCGAATGGATAAGGCGTCCGACTACAGGCTGAAGGGTGGTGGTTCGACTCTGATGGTGGAAAATTAATTTTAAAAATAATAAAATAGGTTTTGGTCTGCTGGGAAAAAGACTTGGAAAAAAAACCCTTCAAAGGGTTTTGGAATGTGTTGGGAAAAATTTTACAGCAAAACCCTTCAAAAGGTTTTGGCTGGTTGCACGTGAATGTCACGTGCAAACAGCGAAGGAAAGGCTTTGAACAAAAGCCAATACCTTTTTGAAGAAGAAGAGAGAATCAATCGATAATCAAAGTCGGGTTATATAGTAGTGGTCCCCCTATATTATTTCGATTTTTGGTGACCTATATCTCGATCCACAGCAGTTCCGTGAAGATTTCGATTCTATCATGATTTGATTGTACATATTTCTACTTAGAAATTAATTTTTAATTTTTTAGGAGGAAAAGAGTAAAGATAAGGCCATATTGGATGTTGTTGAAGACGAGGACCCGGAAATTATTAATGATTTTGACTTACTTCAAGATGATAAAAATGAAGACGAGGAGTCTTCAACATGTTCAAGATGAGTAAAATAATGGGGAAAAAAGTTTGAAAATTGAATAAGATAAAAAGGGGGATTTTTTAATTTTTTTGTAACGTTTAAAAGTTGGATGTATTTGAGTTATTTTTTTTATTTTCTTACTTGATTTTATAAATTTATAAAAAAATTTTGATTATTTTTGTCTCCCTATACTACATAGAAACGGATTTTTTTTGTTTCAAAATTTCGATTTTTTAGGATATCTACGATTTGAAACAGTACTAGGCCAAACTTGGAGCTCGGTCCGGGTTCGCGAAAAAAAATTTCGGCTCTACTCCAGTTTATGCGTCCAATCGACTTTTATGCGTCCAATGAAAGTTTATGCGTCCAATAGAAATAAAATTGGATTTTTCTTGTTATTGCTAAGTTGGGGTATGGTTCCAAAACATTTCTTCATGTTCGGGACCTATGCCCACTGGGTCTGGGACCATTCCTTACCCTATCCCTCTAAATTTTTGAAAGTTAAAATCGTTTTTCTGAAACTTAAAAAATTGGCTGTAACTTTCAAAAATTTAGAGGGATAGGGTAAGGAATGGTCCCAGACCCAGTGGGCATAGGTCCCGAACATGAAGAAATGTTTTGGAACCATACCCCAACTTAGCAATAACAAGAAAAATCCAATTTTATTTTTATTGGACGCATAAACTTTCATTGGACGCATAAAAGTCGATTGGACGCATAAACTGGAGTAGAGCCAAAATTTCGCCACTTCCATATTTTTCCTTCGTCCGTGAAGTAGAAAGGGTCAATTTTCCTTTGTATTAATCATAATGAATAGCCTAGACTCCCACATGGACCCAATCTGTTACGACCCGAGGTGTCCGAGATTCACTAATGCGACGAGCACAATAATAACACTTTATCACAAAGAGAAATAAACAATAAGTGGGCGAAGGGAATGGGACAGACGAAGGAGATCAGTGACTAGCCCCGCTAGTATGATCCCACTAGACTGACGATTTCACTGGCTTTTATACTAAACACTTCAAGGGCTGACGCCCATACACAACACCTCCCCCCTTGAAAAAAAAGGTTCGGCTTTCACTTAAAGCCGAAGCTTTACAATTTTAAACATTCACTATAGCTTCCATGCTAAAAAGGCCGGTACGAAAGTACGAGTACGAGTACGAGCAATTTTCAAAATTCCAACCACTGTCCCCAACTACTAAAAGGCATCGCCTTTTATTCTAAGCCGCCACCCTACATATACCCTAGCTCAGACAAGTAAAATTCATATTATATCAACCTATTATTTTGTATAAACAAATAGCCAATTTTATGTCAGGGTTATCAGAAATCTTTTTTGTCTGTCTATTATGTAAATATAAAGGGATAGATATATCTATCGCCCTTTGCCACTGAAAAAAATTGAAACTGTTCAAAATTTACGTGTCGGGCTAACTCAAGGAACAGACAAATCAAGGAACGACAAGTCAAGAAACGACCAACTCAAGGAATATTTTAAAAACGAAATTTTTTGAAAAATCTGAATACTTTTAGTAAATAAGAATTTACAAACAAATTGGAACACTTTGAAAAACAGAATTTAAAAAAAATTCTGAAAAATTCTGGTTTTTAAAAATATTCTGATTTTAAAAATATTCCTTGAGTTGGTCGTTCCTTGAGTTAGCCCCCACCCAAAATTTATTAACCTTCTTTATAAGTTGATCATTCAACGTATATTCAACTAATTCAAAGTCAGGGTTAATAATTTTAGTTTTTTTTAATCTCTCCTTGGCATATTTACTGTTGAAATTTAACTTCTGTAATGAAATTTGGTTAAATTCTATTCTATAGCACAATTCTCCCTCATATTTATTAATTAAATTGAGAAAGTAGGAATTTGTCAATTTAAAAGACGTTAATTGATTAAAATCAAGACATTTTAATACATCAAGTTTTGCTTCAGTTGGAAGAGAAAACATTTTTAACTGGCTAGAAATAGGAGAAGAATTCTATAAATACCGTATTCTCTCTATTGGAAGTGCCCCTTCAGTTGAAGTGCCCCCTCTAATAGAAGGGCCCCTTTGGAGATGATATCAAAATAGAATGGTCGGCAGTTCTATTAGATAGAATACGGTAAGTTCAAATAAAAATCAAACAAAGATTTAAAATGGGTACGGCCCAAGTAGGCGCACGGCCAAGTAGGCGCAAAGTCATAACTTGCTTCAAAATTTCCGAATCTTACCAAATTTGGTATTAAACGATTCCTCTCATCGAGCTAAAGAGAATGGTACCAAAATTGTTAAGGTCCATAAATTTTTCAGGTAGTTATGGCTTTGCGCCTACTTGGCCGCGCGCCTACTTGGGCGTGTCCCATTTAAAATGTATTGTAAAAATAGATTTACTGGCCTTAACCAGCTGAATAATAACAAGAACAAATTTTATAAAAAAATTAATTTATTTAAAAAAGTCAATAAAGCTAGTGTTCAACGATCAACTTAATTAACAAAATATTTGTAGTCTGAAGACTCGACATAATTTAAATTTCGTCTAATACCCTTCACTATTCTGATTTTAGTTTTGTAAACCTTTCTTCCAATTTTCCATCCTTGGCTACAAAATGAAAACTTCACTTTTGGATTGTGTTTATTAACAATTTCATAAGTTATAGATGTTAAATTTGCACGATGTTCAATTTCAACATTTTCTGCTTTTTCGGTTAATTGCAAACCACAGGGGTAATAATAATCAAGAACGATAAAAGGCACCATTTTTGAAAAGTCTTTGGACGTTGTTATGTACTAAAATATAAAATTGCTTTTTTGCTAATTCTTCTCCTAATTTTTCTCGCCTTTCTCCCATTTCGGGGGGGGGGGGCTTTAGCCCCAGAAGCCCTCATCAAGGGCGTAGCCAGAGGGTCGATTTCAGGGGGGGGGGGCTAACACTGGGTGTCCGCAAAATTTTTGGCGTTTGCCTTGGCGTTCTGGACGCAAATTTTTTTAACCATATTTTTATGTTCTTTCAGCGCCGCAGGCGAAAATTTTTTGAATTTAGACGGTCATAGGCGAAAAAATTTCACTTTTTTGCTAATTCTTCTCCTAATTTTTCTCCCCTTTCTCCCATTTCGGGGGGGGGGGGAGCTTTAGCCCCAAAAGCCCCCCCTTGGCTACGCCCTTGGGGCTCATAACAGAGAAGTCACGGGTTAAGAGAAATTTTCATCTGATCTGGTTGACAGTCGTTAAGTCCGGGTATCGGGTAACCATTGATACCGCCGTCCCAAACATATTTACGGTCGATATCCTAGGTGTGCCGCAACAGATTTTAAAAAGTGAAAGGCAAAAGTCCAAAATTTTAATGAAAGATGAAAAGTCGAAAGGCACACCCATGGTTGAAATAAATGTCCTAGGACCGACTTGCTCTCTCGAAGGGCATAAATGTCAATCATAACCGAGTATAAGCCCCCAATATTTGTAAAGCAAAAATTTATTTCAAAATGTCATCAAAACTTACATCAACAAGAGGATCAAAAACCTGTTCACGAAACCAGTCTTTTTCAGATTTATTAAATTTGAGACAAACTTTGGGTAATTTTTTGCCTTCATTTAGCAAAATTTTGAATAAAATATAAAAATCTTCGCTGTCAAATGAGTCAAAATTGAATTCTAGACGTTCATAAATTTTAAAATAATTTAAAGAATATTCCCAGATTTTTCTAAACGTAGATGATCTCGAAAATATTTCTGGCTTATCAATAAGAAATTGACGAAGAGTTGTTCTGTCGTCACAAAATAATAAATTAATAATTTCTGGATTGAATACTACTTCATCAAACAAAGCTTTTTCATATGCACAATTAAATAGTTGTTTTAACCAATATCGAATAATAGCCATTTCTTTAAAATCTTGCGGATAGTCTGGCAATATAAGAAGATAATGGTAAGGTTTGCCCTTCACTAAAAAAAATAAAATTTTAGAAAATTATCTGTCGTATTAAAAAAGTATGTGTATAACAAGGCTATTGAATAAATCGGGTTGGAAAATTTCTCGGTTTAGGGTTTTAGTAAATCCTTGATATATCCGGTATCTTGTATAAGCAAGAAAGAATATATTTTAATACGTTAATATAATACGTTCACAAACGTCATACATAGGGTTGGGGCCCGGTTCGATCAGCCCGATTGAATCGGTAATCTCATTTTAGCCCGAAAGACTCGATCAGCCCTCTGCTAGCCGGATCCTGAATCATTAGGTCCCTAATGATTTGGCTAGAGGAAGGGCTTATCGGATCATTTCGTCGAAGACTGGCCCGAAAGGCCCGATAACCAAGTTATATGTCAAAATTTAATCACTTTTTTGATGGACAAATTTTCACGGTTAAGAAAAGGAAAAATAGGATTGATGAGAGGCAATCGAAACTTCTATATTTTATTAACAAAGCTAGAACCGTCAACAAAGCACAGGGGAAAATAGGAAGTATTTTATATCCAATTAATTTTATTCAAACCATTTTTCTCCAAACAAATTGCGAATTTGGGAGGGAATCCATTGTTACAATCATCAAAATCTTCATTCGGATAAAGCATCTCTTTTGTCTGTCCTGTATGTGAATACAATCTGATGAATGTACACATCGCCCTCCGCCACTGAAAAAAATTAAAATATAGTAAGAGCGAGGTAAAAGTTTAATCACGGGCAGGCTTCGATCCTGCGACCCCTGGCAGTTATTGCTAGGCGCTTTTGCACAGGCTCTACCAACTGGTGCTCTACCAACTGAGCTACCGGGACGCTGCTTTCACCTTCTCTTTTAATAGATCTTAAACCCCCGCCTAGTGAGCGTTTTAAATGCTAGCCAGCTGGATCTTTTCTCTCTTTCTCTTCCTTACAATATTAAGAGGTATGGCCCCTGCCAGGCATCGATCTTACGACCTCTTGGTAGTTACTGCTAGAGCGGGTACTTTATAGAATGAATGTTAACGTTGGCCTGTTCCTCTAAAATTTAATTGTTCACCTTCTGTTTAACCCAATCAGTCAACTCATATTGAATAGCTTCTGATACAGATTTAATGACTTTATATTCTTTTAATCGTTGTGCGATAGTGTATATATCCAACTAAAAGTAAATTTAGAGGAAAATTTGGTTATTTACTATTGAGATTTGATTAAATTTCATTCGATAGCACAATTTTTCTTCAAGTTTATTAATTGAATTGTAAAAGTAAGAGCTCGCCAGTTTAACGGAGGATAATTGATCAAAAGTAAAGCATTTTAATACATCAAGTTTTGCTTCAGGTGGAAGAGAAAACATTTTTAATTATCTGGAAAATAGGGGGAAATTCCTGAAATAATTTTAAAAAATCAAACAAAAAATTAAAAATTGTAAAGATAAATTTACAGGAATTAACCAGTGTTTATAAATTTCAATTAAGCTCATACTCGTACCTACTACCTATTTTTGGCTGGCCTCGTACTCTTAATAAAAGTACATGTTTTGCTCTGTATCTTCTCGTACTTTTTCCTAGTGCTCGTACTTCGTACTGGCCTATTTTTTTTTTGCTCGTACCCGTATTTCGTCCCTCTGTACGAGTACGGATTTTGGTACGAGCTTATAAACACTGGCTTTAACCAATTTAAAGATAATAATGCAAACAAATTTTATAAAAAAATTTTTATTCAAAATTTATTTTCATTAATCAATAAAGGTAATCCAGACTAAGACATGGATACAGATATTATAAAAATGCCTGCGGATATCCGTCTGACCCGCCGTAAATATCCGGATACCAAAATCAGTATCCATGTCCTAGTCTGCGGTAATCTGCCAAATAATTGTAGTATGACGAATCAACAAAATCCGAATATTTCCATCCCTGTTCCTTCTCTGTTTTGATTTTAATTTTAAAAACAGATTCAGTAAACAATTCTTGGTTACAACATAAAAATCTAATTTTTGGATTGTAAATATTGGCAATTTCATATGTTGTAATTGTTTTATTCCCATATCGTTTAGTTTCTACATTTTCTGCTCTGTCACTTAATTTTAATTTTATAGGATCAGAATACATAAGCGTAATAGAAGGCACCATTGTTGTAAAATCTTTAGATGTTGTTATATACTAAAAATGTATTTGTGGTACATTAATATCCCCCCACTATTCTCTATTTGGGTCTCGGATATTTCGCTTTTATTCTTCGCTGCTTTGGAATGGTCAAACAAAAATCGACTGTATATGAAAGGAGTGCTCGGATCGCATTTTTCCTTACCTCGGAATGGGGTCAATTTTCCTTAGTATTTGATGTTTGTCATATGGAAGGCAAAATTGTGTAAAAAATATTTTTTCTCTGCTTATTTTGTTGGTTGAGAGGCAAAATTCGGTCTTACAAAACTCGGTCGAGGCAAAACTTGGTCGGACAAACTTGGAAAGCCCAAGTCGGTCTTACCAAAACTCTGTCCATTTTGTTTGTGGTCTTTTTGGACGAGTGCTATTATCTTTTTTTTATTTTGTGTCAGGCTAACTAACGGGACGGAAAAACAACAACGGACAAATTGCACCGAGTTTTGGTAAAACCGACTTGGTCGTTCCAAGTTTTGTCTCGACCGAGTTTTGTAAGACCGAGTTTTGTCACTCACCCAACAAAATAAGCAGAGAAAAAATATTTTTACACAATTTTGCCTTATGACAAACATCAAATACTAAGGAAAATTGACCCCATTGCGAGTCGGTCTAAGAAAGTAAGGAAAAATGCGATCCGAGCACACCTTTCAGATACAGCCCAAAAATATTTACTTATATACCTTTTTTTCTCCGTGGTCGAAACAGACCAAGTATGGTGTCATTCAAAAGAGCTAGGAAAATCGAGTCGAACTTGGTGTGGACGAAGCTGGTCCGATACCTAGGGGCCGAGATATAGGGTCGAAATGGTCAAAAACCATAGGCAAATAAAAGCTCATTCGAGAGAGCTATTCAAGCTGAATTGATAAAATTTTGGTGTCCGGCCCCCTACAATTTTTCCTGGCTACGGTCTTGGCTATTACATATTTATTTCAAAAAAAGTGTGGACAACTTACTTGAACAATAAAATCACATAGTTGTAGATAAAATTGTTGTTCTGGGTTATTAAATCGAAAATTAACTTTAGGTAATTTTTTGCCCTCATTCGTTAATATATTTGAAATAATATCAAAATGTTCAGTAGAAATGGAAGCAAAATAGATACGAAGACATTCAGAAACATCTAAACAATTTAAAGAAAATTTCCAAATATTTTCAAATGAATATCCTGTAGCATAAAGAATTGGGTTTTGAATGTTAAGAGAAAACTTTTTGTTTTCATCAAATAATAATTTAATCATTGCTGGATTAAACACAATTTCATTAAATACGACATCTTCAAAAGCACACTTAGAAAGTTGTTTCAAACAGTAACGAACAGTAACCATTTCATACATATTTTTTGGGAAGTTCGGCAATATTAGAATATAATGAGTTTTGTAGTTCCCTAAAAGATAGAAATATAGGCATCTTACTTCATCAAATAAGACATCTATAAAACGTTAGTGTGTATTACTATTTATAAATTTTTATTTTGCTCGTACCTCCCCAATTTTAGCCCTCATATTAATGCTTTATTTTTGGCCTCGTACTTCGAACCAAAATACTAATACGGATTTTGGTGCGATCTTATAAACTAAGGTTGTCGGATCCGGATCTGAAAAAAGTCCGGATATCCGGAAATTTTCAGCTCGGATATCGGATCCGGATATTTTAGGATTATCAACTATCCACAAACCTTATTATAAACCAGGATGTGCCGAAAGATTTTAAAAACGAAACGTAAAAGGTTAGAAACACTGTTGTCTAGTAGTGCTTATAAGCTTGTAATTTATATCCTTATAATTATTTTCAAACCTGTTTTCTTCAAATAAATAGCAAATTCTTTGTCAGGTTTAGCAAAATGTTCTGTCCTGCTAAGTAAAATCCTAGTCCGTCCCGTACGTAAATAAGGTAAAATGGATTTATCTTTCATTGTCTGCCACTGGAAAAATTAAAAGTTTATTTGAAATTTAATAGTGTACTTGTGGCTTATCCCAAAAGTTTTCGCAAAAGTATTTATGCGGACTAATTATACTATAATTGTCAGAACGTCTCATAATTGTTACCCTTTCTTTATCCGATGTAATGTTTTTCGGACATTTGGGGGGAAATATTGGGAGTTGAATGATTTCCTTTTTATATCTGACCATTATGAGTCAGCAAAATTATGTCCGCAAAAACTATGTCCGCAAAATATGTCCGCAAAAACTATGTCCGCAAAATATGTCCGCAAAAAATATGTCCTCAAAATATGTCCGTAAAAAATATGTCCGCAAAATATGTCCGCAAAAACTTTTTTGGGATAGCCTACAAGCACTTGCACCATTTAACCTTCAATCGATCACTCAATTTATATTTAACAGATTCTGAATTAGGTTTAATAATTTTTAATCCTTTAAACTTTTGTTTGATAGTGCTTACACCGATCTAAAATTTGATTTTAAAAAATATTTAGTTAATATATTTACTATTGAAAATCTCATGAATTTCACCAGTGCCAATTCTCCCTCGTATTTATTAATCAAATTGCGAAAGTAAAAATTTGTTTGTTTAATATTGAATAATTGATTGAAGTTTAGACATTTTAATACATCAAGCTGAACTTCAGTTGGAAGGGAAAGCATTTTTAACTGGCTAAAAATTTGGAAAAATTCAAACTTTATTCCTAAAAGGTATAAAAATCATAAAAAAATAACAGTGAAAAACGAGAGAAAACTAAGAGTATTAAACAAAATTTAGAGACGAGCTGAAACGTCCTCTTCCTCTTATAGCGTGGCCGAAGGGCGACTTTATTGTTCCTCGAACTGTTCGTTTTTGTTGGGACACGCCCGAATAGTCGCGCGGCCATAAGGTCGCCAAGCCATAACTTGCTTTAAAATTTTCGAATCTTTCCAAATTTAAGTCATGACTAAGCTGGTTGAGTCATGACTAAGCTGGTTCCCGGACCCTATAACTTATGAATGGATGGTCACTTTTTTTTGTTCTTGGTACCAATGGATAGGGCTTTAAATAGGCTAGAATATACCCAAAAATCAAAATTCTTGACCGACAAATAAAAAAGTTATGATCGATAAAGTGCCGAAAATCAGATTTTTTGAAAGATGTTAGTCTTTAAATCATAACTTTTTTGACAATTAATCGAAAATTTTGATTTTCAGGTATATTGTAGCCCATTTAATGCCCCATCCAGTGATACTAAGAACGTTAAAAATTATCAACCCCTACTTGAGTTGTAGGGCCGGGACTCAGTTGAACCGGTACTCAGTTGAACTACTCCGTGTTCTGTTTCACTCCTCCTTCCTTCTCCACATTTTTCCTTAAATAGCAGCAAAAATACACTTATTTAACCATTATTTTTCATTTTATAGATTTTCATTTTTAGTTTATTTCTCTTAAATTTGATTAAGAATATACAATTTAAACTAAATGACACCGATTAATTCGAATATAAACGACAAAACAAAATCTCAACAAAACGATCAAATGGGGAAAATGAATAATATTGGTACTAATTTATATTTGTTGGAGATTAACAAATGCCGGGGTCATACCCAGGGTTTATCTTCTGAATTGTCTTGGACAAGCTTTTCAAGGATAAAACCCCAAAAACCCTGTTTTCATCAAAATACCCGCTTTACGGACCCGCTCCTGTGCCCGGTCGAAGTGGCAATCTTTCAACCATCTCCTGGGTTTTTGTATTTACTAGCTTGGTCTGAATCAGAGGTGGGTCGGAACAGTCAGAGGTTTCGGAAATCGTAAGAGTCGGAAATTGGAACTGGCTCAAAAGTCGGAAATCGGAAATCAAAAATTTTTTTCGGAAATCGGAAGGAAAAAACGTCGGAAATCGGAATTCCGACCCACCTCTGGTTTGAATGACAAATATTTCAAATTTACCCCCCATAAATTTAGGTCAGACTCAAAATTTTCCTTCATTCACACTACAACACCCATTAATGCCTTCATTATCCTACCAACAACAACAACAACCTCCAATGCTCCCGAATTACACCAATCCAATGTTGCATCCTTCTAATTCAACAATTCAACCTCAAATGTTTCCAACTTACCCTAATCCAATATCGAATTTAAATCCCAATCCTTTAGCGAATCCTAACAATACAACAACTCAACCAAAACTTGAAAAATGTGGTTGGGTAGTTGGAAATATTTCCTTTCAAGTAAATTTAAGGAAAAAGTGGAAATATTATTTTAACATTTTTAGAGTGGAATTAACACTTCCGAACTTCATGTTAATTTAAGAAATAACATTACTATTGGGAAAGTAAATAAATTATTGACTAAGACCACCTTAGATACGTTTAAATTTATTGAAAAATTACTAGTTGATGATCCTTCAAAGAAGGTTGTTCAAGATGGTCAAATAAAGGTAGTTAGAATCAGTGTTTGGACTAGGGTAGCAATCAGACCCCGAAAACCCCTACCCCGACGGATTTTTTGGCAAGAACCCCGACCCGAACTCCGAAGGCTCTACCCCGACAAACCCCGATCCCGTCATACCTGCCCCCGAAGGGTCTGGTTGCTACCCTAGTTTGGACTATCAAATTGTCCACTAAAATCTCAGTACTAGTGTAGTTTTCCCCCCATAGGCTCCGCCCTTTTTTTCGCATCGTTATGATTGAGATTAGTAAAAATGAAACAATCATACCTGCACATGTTACGGATTTTGCTTTCCATATCCGGATATATCCATGGGGTCAATATCCGTATCCGTTTATATCTGTCCAACATTTGAGTCATACACATCCATGCTATCCGCGAGAATATCCGCTTTCTCTCAAAATGGCCGACCGGATATATCTATGTACAAGTCTGGAAAAAATTAGCTCAATTGTTGCTTCATAAGAAAAGGAAGAGGGGAGCTAAAGGGGCGGGGCTTATGGGAGGGAAACTACACAAGCACTAAAAATATCAAAATATTTTCAATTAACAGAAAGAAATACAAGAAGAATCGGAAACTATGCATAAAAAGGAGATTGAAGATTTAAAAAAAGAATGTGAAAAAATGAAGGTTAAGTGTTCTAATTGGGAATATAAATATGGAATGTTACTTCGACAAATTAATAAAATGAAGAAAAATGAAAGTGGAAAAATTACACAAGTAATTTTAAATTTAAATTAGAGCCCGGACAGTAGCGTAGTACCAACAGTTTTTATACTTTACTATAGTGGCCCGGCGCAAAGGATATCCGGCTATTATCTGTCTCCGTGTGGTCTGGAAAAAATTAACCCAATTTTCGCTGATATAAGTAAAGGAACTCTCTCTTTTTTTAAAAAAAGGAACTCTCTCTCTTTTCCATCCACATTAGGGGAATATCAGAGGATTAAGGTGGATATAAAGAAATTTAGAGGTAGATAGGTGATTTGAAGGGATATCAGGGATTCTGAGTGATAAAGAGGGCTGAAGAGATATTACATGATAAATATGGATAGTGCATTTGCAGTAAATAAGGTGAATTGAATAGATATTGGAGGGTTGGGTATACTATACTACAACCTAGATAGACACCTGTGTGGGGGGGACAGGTGTCTATCTAGGTTGTAGTATAGTATACCCAAGGCAAAAATCTCTACGAGCTCTTTCGAATTTTATATCCGAGTTTTTACCCCAAAAATGGTCCCCCTATGTTATTTCGATTTTTGGTGATCTATATCTCGATCCACAGCAGTTCCGTGAAGATTTCGATTAAATCGTGATTTGGTTGTAATTCTACTTAATTAAAAACTAATTTAATTTTTTAGAAGGAAAAGAGTAAAGCTAAGACCATATTGGATGTTGTTGAAGACGAGGATCCGGAAATTATTAATGATTTTGACTTTCTTCAAGATGATAAAAATGAAGAGGAGAATGATATTCAACAAGTTGAAGATGAGTAAAATAAGGGGAAGAAAGTTTGAAAATTGAAAGGATAAAAAATTGGGGGTTTTTTAATTTTTTGTAACGTTAAAAGTTGAATGTATTTGAGTTATTTTTTAATTTTCTAACTTGATTTTATAAATTTATAAAAAAAATTTTTTTGATTATTTTTGTCTCTCTATACTACATAGAAACGGGGGCAGACCAATGTACCGCAGATCTACAACTTTGTTCAAAGAGGTCGGATACCGGACGGATTGGTATGGTTCGATGCGTCTTGACGAGCTGAATCGAACCATACTAGGGCGTCCCGGATCCGACCACTTTGAAAGAAGTCCAAATCTTCATGGCCCGAAACCCGCAAATACCAAATTCGCTCCGTAATAATTGAAAAAGAATTCCAAAAATTTTATACAATTTTTATAAAAATGATGACTTAAAAATATTTAAAAATACATCCAAAATTTATATTTTTTCCTTTAAGAACTAAAGATAGGTAATTGAAACGAATTTTTTGTTAGTTGCTTGTCATGAAAGCGCAAAAAATACAATTTAAGGGTAGATAATTTTAGAACTGTCCAAGACCTAAAAATTTTCAATAACTCAAGACAAACTGAAGACCCTCAAGAATGTGGTGTTAAGTCAATATTAGGGTTGTCGATTAGGGTTGCCGGATCAGAATCCGAAAAAGGCCAGATATGCGGGAAATTTAGTTTCGGGAAATTTCGTTTCGGATATAAAATCCGGATATACAAGGAGTTCCAACTATATACAACAACCCTGTTGTCGGACACGAACCGAAAATTTCCAATTGATTAACCGAAGAACTTGGTAGAACCGATAACCCTATTCAAGGCAAAGAGTCTTGAAGAGCTCTAGTACTTTAAATAAAAAAAAATTTTTTATTTAAAGTACAAAATTGAATTTTTAAAAATTATTTCTCATATTAAGTATTGACAATATTTGTGTATAGAATAAACCAAAAAATTTTTTTTTATTTTAAAAAATAAAAGAAAGGAGAAAGAAACATTTTTCGGTCACAAAATTGTATAGACAAAAAAAAGAGGAAAATTGACAAATTTGTTCAAATATTTTTGAAAAAATTATTTTTTTGTCAAAAAAAGAATTTCAATCACCCAAAATTTATTAAATTTTTTTATAAATTCTTTTTTGTCTCCTTCAAACGTTGTGGCGTTTTTGGTAAATGTGTAAAAGGAGCTTTTATTACGTCAATTCCTTCTTCTTGATGAACTTCAGTTTTTTCGTCTAAAAGATAAATTTTTTTAATAATTACAACTTTCTATACAAATTGTTAAGTGCCTTTAGCTACTATCTATGAAAATTGTAAAACCTTAAAAAAGAATTGTAAAACCTCTTCAAACGTAAACTTGTTAGTTAAAAGTGGAGACCAAGAATTTTATACTTTACCGTAATCCACAATGTCCTATTGATCAACTGCTATCCCTATTAATCCACAGAAACTTATTTACTTTACCCCATTTTATTTGCGAGCTCAAAATGGTCAAAGTAAACGCATGGGAATCGGTGCGAATACATGGGTCAATAATAGGGTTGTTTTGTGATTATATGGGGTAATATAAGTTTCAATCCACACAAATCCCTTGATATCTCTCTTAATCCCTAAATTTCCTGATCCTCGCAAATCCCATGATATCCACCCTCCCAGAATCCTCCAAATATCCCTCTTAATCCTACCAAATGTCCCATGTAAACCCTTACAAGGCAAACTTATATTCAAAAGTTTACAAACTTCCCCCAAGTTTATTTTATTAAGATCAAGTATATATTTACTGTTGCCACAAGCATCCAAACAACCTTCTCCTTCACCAAATAAAAGGCGATTAGCATCAGTAAAAACTGCAGAAGCAGAATATGTCAAAGCCTGTTCACGTATAAAACGGGCGCGGTTAAGGCATTTTTCTAAAGGTGAGGTACCATCTTTGCCATGTGATTCTATGAAGGAAAAGTTTTTTTAAATCAAATTTTCTGAAAAAAAATCCCCTCTTACCAATAATTGCAGCATTAAGTGCTTTAGCTACAATATCACGTTGAGTTTGTTCAAGTAAATAAAAATTGGTAGAATGACTAGGATCACGGTAACATAAAAGTGAGAAAGCGGCCTTTAAATTTTAAGAAAATTTTGAAGAAAAAAAATTTTAAACTAGATATCGGAATTTCATACTGTACCGTATCTCGTACCGTAATACCGAAGAATACAGATGAATATTGAGGACTCTAAAAATTCTACAATACCGTCCCCTTACCGTAATCCGGGAAATACTGATGAACCCCGAAATTTTAAAGTACCGCATCCTCTTAGGGTAATACCGAAAAAGAATACCGTAGCGTATTCTACGCCGTAATCCGATAAATACCAATGGTCTCCAAGATTTTTACCGATCGTATTTTACTGTACCCTACCGACTACTAAAAAAATACCGATAATACGAGGCTCCTAAATTTTACCGTAATGGATCCATACCAACTACAAATCGGAATACATAAAGACACCGTCGGTGGAAGGGATATCACAGGTTGTGAAAAAGTGTGTTTCAGGTCAGATTTCGGATTGGGTTCTTGAAAAATTTCTCTGATCGGGTTTCGGGTCAGAAAAAGCCCAGGTTTCTGTCAACCCGTGACACCCCTGATCGGTCATCCTTCGGTCACAAAGTAAAACAAACATTCATTCTGTGCCTAAGTGCAGCACAACTTTGAACACTTTGTCCATCTTCTACTCCAACATTACTAATATTATCCATTTTCATTGCAAAACGTGAAATTTCTTGTCCATATTCCAAAAGTGGGGCATAACGAATAAATTGTTTTTGTTCTTCCATAGTTGAAAAACCTCCATATTCTGTTAATTCGTCTTTACCATCTTCACATTCAACTTCCATTTTAAATCCATCTAGGGTAAGCTCTGTAATAAAAGAAATTTTTTCTTCAAGAAAAATTTCAAAAAGAAATTTTTTTCCTTAAATTTGTCAAATAATTTTATGTTATACCCACTTTGGGGAAGTGGGTATATTGTTGGCGACCGGTTAATTTTCCCCCGAGGCAGCGCAAAAGCTCTTATTCTTCTTCTCTATTCGACCGTCTCTATTCGACATGGAAAAATTCACCGGTCACCAATAAACCTTAATCAGAACCAAAAAGGTCAGTCAGGTTCATTAGCCCCTGAAAGGTTTAAAAAGAAATGCTACTTTCCCTTCCAATTAAATTTTGATTTATCTTTATTTGCCAATAGAGTTTGGGGTTTTCGAGTCGGGCCGACGTTAGAGTCATTTGTTCGGGTTTATTTTTATCGGGCCAGCCCGACCGAGTCTTTTTCAGGGCAAAATTCGATGCCCGACTCGCTCTTTCGGACCGGACCCCCAACCCTATTTGCCAATAAAACTTTAATAAAAAGATAGTTGGCAAGCTACACAGTGCCGTTAGGGTTTAACACAACTCCAAGGCCCAACGATTCCGCTCGTTTAAGTCGAAAACAATTTTTCTTCTTCAAAAAAACAATTTTTCCCTTACCCAATTCATCTTCATTTCCAGAAACAAATTCACTCGAATCTTCCTCTTTAATAATTGTTGTGCTTGTTGGGGGTGTTCCAACGAGTAAAGAACATCCATTTGAACGTCCATCCCCATTAGACATAGCTTCCAATGTTGTAGCACAAATAGAGGAAGAACTTACACCATCACGACTTTCTTCACTTATTTCCATAAAATCATCACGTTTTGGAAAATTATTTGTTGAATTGCCATTTTGTTGTTGTGAAGAATTTGTATGTTCATTATCTTCTAAAAAACAACAACAATCATAATTTTTAAGAGTAAACTTGAAAAAGTAAAAACTAAAGAATATTTTCTTAAACTTTCCAAGTTTGCAAGAAAAAACTAGAATTTTGTAAAAAAATTTATATAAACTTAAGCTCAAGTATTATATATAAACTGGATTATCATTGAAATAAACCATTGAATCAGCACTTAACAATAAATAATTGTGTCTGATTGTTACGTTACAATCATCAATGTACGAGTACTTACAAGGAAAAATAGGGAATATTAGTAAAAGGAATGAGTAAATTTCAAATTTCCAAGCAGTGGTGTTAACAACCAAGATTGTCGGTTCATGGAAACTCTACGATATCCGGAACCAAACCGAAGAATGAACCGAAAAATCCTTTCTTCTTCGGTTCAGTTCGGTCCAGAAACGACAACCCTATTAACAACACCCAAACAAAAAGCAAAAAATGACATCAATGAGTAGATTAAAGGCTATTTCAATTATTTATATTTAAATATCCCAGGATTAAAAAAAATTTTTCCTTTTCTTTCTTACCATTACTCGAACGTCGTTTAACAGGATTATGCAAATCTGAAGCAGAATTCAAATTCTTCCCTTCATCATTAGAAGAACTCGGAATCATTGTAAAATCATCATCATCATCTACAGCAGAAGCACTTCTTTTTCCCCCTCTACTACTTGAAGGACGTGGAGATGGGGAGGATAAATTATTATTGTTAAATTGCTGTTTAGTTGAAAGTGAATTATTTTCATTTAAATTATTTGATTGTTGGTGTTCTTGAGGTAATGGAGGTAATTCCTTTAAATTAAATAATTTTTTGTGGATGAACAAGGGCCCTGTCACATCTTAAAAAGCAGGAAGGTGGAAGAAAATAAAAGTGGAAGCGGAAAAGATCCAATCCCTGATTTAGGCCAGGGTTGGCCCTCGTCTCCGAAAATCGAGAAAATTCGAGAGATTCTTTTGAAAATTCCCCGTCCCCCCCCCCTCGTTGAGGGCCAACTTCAATTTATACCCTGACCCTGCCTAACCCCAACTTTTATAATTCTAAAACCCCGACCCCATCCCAGGAATGTCACAAAAGGTAGCCGAAACCCCGGACTTTTCCCAAATTAAAATCCGATCCGTAAAATATTCTAAAACGCAATCCGATAATTCCTCAATTTATTCTATTCCCAAACTTGTCTAACCCGAAAAAGGCCCAACTTTTCTAATCAAAAAGATGTTCTAGTGAAAATTAAAAAAACCCTACTTTAGTAATTTCTTTATACATTTCAATAAAATGCTGTGTTTTTATTAATAATGCAAGTTGTCGATTTGTTTCAAACAAAGAAGGAAATAATTGCTGAAATTGTTTAAGATAAAATTTATTTATTCAAAAAAAATTTTCCCCAGATTTTTAAATTTACAGAAAAATCATAAAAACTACTGCCCATATTTTTTTATTCAAGTTTAGGGTTTTCAGAAAATTATTCTAATTCTTATAAAAATATTATATTAATCAGAGTTGTCGATTCTGGCCAATGATTTTCGATTCGGTTCGATTTCGGATATCCGAAAAATTTCCAGGAACCAACAACCCTGATTAATAAGGTTTTTCAAAAGGTATATGTTAATATTTTTAATGAAGAAAAGAGACAAGCTAAAAGGATGAAGGATCGAAGCCGGCCCCCAACGTAAGATTATTACACCACTCTTAGTATATTTAAAATGTTCCCCACAAATTTTCAAAATGTTTTTACACCAAATTTAATCGAATTTAAACCTCAATTTTATCAATAGCATCAGCCAATTGTCCCTTTTTAACCATACGAACAAGAATTCTTCGTTGTTCCATTTCTTCATAAAGAGCCTCCTGAACTGAACGGACCACTGAACGTCTAACATTCCCTCCTCCTCCTCCTTGTGGTTGCGAGGAAGAATTTTCACCACCATTTCCACCCAATAATCCAATCATTGAATTCATTACAACTTCGGCTACTTTTTCTGCTGCAACTGTTGGTGATTGAGAATCTTTGGAATCAAAAGTTATTGTTGAACCCTTAATTTTGGAATTTTTTAAAAATTCTTTTTAAATTTAAAATAAACTTGAGAATCGCTTTTAGCTAATTGTTGTGAAAGTTCTCCTCTAGTTCCACCTCCTGTTGCACGATTTAAAGCGTCTAAGGCGCGAGAATAGCCTTCATGAGCCATCCAATTTGAAACAAGACTTAATTTAAATTTAAAATTTTTTTGGGTAATAGTCTCATTTGTGTTCGACATTTATTTTTGTGAGGATTTATAGGGGAAAAGTGGGGGATAAACTGTCATGGGGTCAAGGAGGAGGGGTGTCCGTTACCTCCATATATGCTATATTTTTAAGGGTTCCGTGAGATTTAATGTTTTAAAATATTTTCAAAAGTATTGTAAGAATATTTCTATATAAATCAGCCTTCGGCGACGTTGGGGAATGAGTTAAGTAAACAAGTAAGGTAATAATGGATTTTCTTTTGCCGTAGAATAATCTATTCTAATTTAGTTAATTGGATCGTTTCCCAGAGACGGCACTTAATTTGTGTAGATTTAGGAATATGACAAAACCGATATAAATCCTTCAGTCAAAAAATAGAATTGGATAGAGAAAAAAACGAACCCATTATCTTTTTTTAATTTAAAAAAAAGAAAAACCTGTTCATCCACAAAACTTTTTCTGCAGGTAATTCTATAGCATTAATATTATCCATGGTTGCTTTTTCAGCCATTTTTAGTTCTGAACGCATATCAAATAAAAATGGTTTTTGTCCAAAGTTAGCGTCAATCTAAACAAAAAACGTCTAATTTTTAAATTTATTAAGTACCATTTCATCAGCAGTCTGCATTCCAATTGGGAAGAGATCATTATTTAATGGAATGGATAAGGCATTTGCAACGCCTAGAAAAAATGTTTCAAAAAAATTTTCAAGCATATAAGAACATTGAAAAACTCCAAAAATGTGTTCAAATTTAATTTCAAAATATTTGACCCCGAAAGGGTTCGAACCCACAACCTCATTAGGGGAGAAAATAAAAATTAACCACTTAACCAAAAAATACAATTCTTTCAATAAATTTGTTGGGGTTCCAAAAAAAATTTTTTTTAACATTTACATAATATATTTCCCCAAGAAAAAAATATCTGCCGCTAGCAGGGATCGAACCTGCGACCTTGGGCTTATTAGACCCACGCTCTAACCGGCTGAGCTATAGCGGCACATGTTAGAAAAAATTAAATAAGTAGTTAAGTACTAAATCAAAAATTCTGATTTTTCTGGGAATGTTCAAAAAAAATTTAGAACTTAAAATAATTTTAAAAATACCCAAATGTTGTCCATTTTTCGTAAAAAATAATTGTCTAGTCACAAAATTCAGTCCACACCCAATAACATCTCCAGTAGTAAAAGTAGGTCCATATTCAACTCCCTTGCCAGATGACGAAAAGAAATTTCCATCGTCCCCATGATATCCATAAGAAATTGGGTCCCAACCAGGCAAGCGATTTAATGAAACATTTTTCTCAGAAAGTCCAATACCCATAAATCTGAAAGAAAAGTTTTAATTTGAGAAATAGGCGTGGTTGGGCTGGGAGTACTTTACTTTTTGATCCATAACTTTTTTTGAAGTCGAGGTAGGGATTTAAATTTAACTTTAAATTAAAGAGGAGATTCAGGACTATAAGAATATTCGTTAAAAACTCAAAAAGTTAAATAATCTGATTTTTAAAGATATATCATAAACCTCTTCCCATCCTGATTAGGAGTCGGCTGACTTTTTTTTCGAGTTGGGCCGACGATCGAGTCATTTTTTTCGGGCCTCATTTTTGTCGAGTCGGGCTGGTACAAGTTTTTTTCGGGTCAAATATCCTATGCCCGACTCGATCTTTCGGCCCGAGACGGGCCATTTTGGCAACCCTAATCCTGATATCTTCCCTTCAGTTGATCATGACATTGGACCAAGAAAAACACGATCTGGATCCATATCGATCCATAGAAACTACTTAACCCCTTAGAGTATTAACTACAATAATTTTCAAAACTAACCCATCTTGTCCTTTGCTAACAACAGTAATTTCAAAATAATAAACAATACAAGAACGTGGAATTGGTCTATTTGCACGAACGGCTGCGGCGTCTTTACTGTTTTGATTAGTTCCTTTGCCTTAAAAAAACAAAAAAGTCTTCAAACTTTAAAACAAAAAGAAACGTTTAGTAACACGCAAAAAATCGGCAGAAAGTTCCAATATTGGCAATTGCTGGCTAACACTATTATTTTGCTGGGGGAGTGACCAACGATCTGTTTTACTCCAAATTCGAGGCAATTTCTAGAAAAAGTTCTTTAAATTTTTTAAATAAAAAACAACTTGAATATCAGTATAGGGATAGAGTAATTGCAAGCGTTGTAAAACTGCTCCCTCGTCATAGTCATACATTGCCTAGAAATTAATTTTTTATTAAAAACTGAAGGGTTTATGACAAAAGTTAAGAACGATGGACTATTCGAGTAAATGACTTCCTTAAGTTTTTCTTGTCCAAAAAATCCCGTAGTTTCAAAGGTGAGGAGTTAAATCAATTAGACTACAACAAAAGTTACTATATACATCCTTAACACTTCCCCTACACGGTCCATAAAGCCTCTGTGGTTGATTTAAGCGATGGACTATTCGGGGGTTTTATGACAAACAAAAAATTCTATCCCGACCGAATGCATCGGAACCCAAAAATGATGAAGGCAAAAAAATGAAAAATCACGTTTTTGTATTTTTTTATTTTTTCTCCGATTGGGAAGAGTTTAAACACCCATAGCCCTGATAGTAAAAAAAGCTAAGGAATTAAAAGAATTGTGAAACGAGAGACCCAACGGTAAAGTGAGCAACAATCAAAGCGCTTAATAAAAATCATCTTCAGAAACCTTTTTCCCACCTTCTTACCCCCTTTTACCTTAAAATTAAAAAACTAAATCCAAACCGAATGCATCGGATCCGGAGGCACAGGAACAATAGTAGCTATAGCAGAATTACTTCCTCCCTCTTTTCCATCACTAGAAAGCCCTCCTCCACTGCTATTCATTGAATCATCATTTCCAAGTACATCCACAATAGAAAAGCGTTGAGCTGAAGAGGATGAAGAAGACAAAGTATTATTTGCTGCGGAAGAACTACCAGAAGAAGCTTCTGCCCCGTCAATCATTGGAATGTCATCATTTCTTTGTTGTTCTTCCATTAATTATTTTTATTAAAAAATTATTTTTTTCCTTTAAAAAAATTTTTAAAAATAAAAATTGATGAAAAAAAACAAAAAAATTTTACAAAAAATAAAAGTGCATTAAAAATGCAAACATTAAAAATAACGAGTAAAATTGTTTAAACATCAAGTGTTTTTATTAGAAAAAATTCAAAAAAAATTTTTTTTAGCTTAGAAAAATTTTTTATGTGAAATACCAAAGAAAACGGCCTTAAAAAGGAGAAAGAAAAACAACAGGACCTGAAAGTACTCGAACCCACGCCCCATAACACTGGAAGGGTGAACGCTACCAGCTGAGCTACCAGTCACACCAAAGGATTTTTTAAATCAATTGAATAGAATTAAATAATTTAAATTGGAGTTGTTCATGACCTGTTAATTTTTGCCTGTGGCAACTCAAATGATCTCATTTTTCTCAATTGAGCCGCCACAGGCAAAAAATAACCGGTCGAGAACAAACCCTAATTTAAACACCATGAAAGCTAATCTTGGAAAATGTGCTGGAAGATTCCTTTAAAATTTCCAAAAAAAATTCTAGGCTTGAAACTCTTCGAAAATTTACTAAAATGATATAATCTTCTCTAAAAATGTGTAGTTTTATCATCAAAATAATTAAAAGAAAAATACTTTTTTTCTTCTTTTTTTGTTCTCTAAACAACTAAAAATAATCACAAATTCGATTTTCGTACATGTGAGAGAGAGAGAGAACACACACTTCATATATACACATACACAATGTTCACCCTACGACTTCATCACCTTTTTACCTCAAGAGCATTATTTTTTGTTTCGTCTTATTCCCCAACTATTTACTATTACACCATTGATGTTTTTAAAATATGCTTTGTGTGTTTGTGTCAGTCAACTACCACCACTTTTCAGATGCACCAAAAAAAGCCGTCCATAGGGACAGGAGCCATAGGGACAGAGTATTCGCCGTTGGAATAGGGTCCCTATCAGGGCTGCACGCAATTGAATCTCCATAATCTCCACACTAAGAGCATTCGAGTGATATAAAAATTGTTTAAAAAAATTATCAAGGAGAACGTTAAGGGCTTTCAGAAAAGAGGTATACCTACCAAAAATGGAAGGAAATAAAGAGGAAATTAGGTACAGCCCATAACGGCGCAAAGCCATAACTTGCTGGAAAATGTCTGACCCTTGTCAATTTTGGTACTAATCTCCCTAGCTCGATGAGAGGAATCGTTTGATACTAAATCTGGAAGATTAGGATATCTTGAAGCAAGTTATGGCTTTGCGCGCCGTTATGGCCGCGCGCCGTTCTGGGCGTGTCGCAGTAATTGACACTAATTTACACCCACCCATAAAGAGAGATTTTAATAAAAAATATATTTTAGAAAATGGATAAAGGGATAATAAAATGATTATATAATAGATAAGAGAACATATATTTATGGAAGGAACACTTTTTCGGATAAAATTTATTAGAGTATGGAACGAATAAAAGTCAGTTTAGGAAAACTGGATTTTGAAGCAAACGAGGCAAAGAAAATATTATTGGCGCTAGCCATAGATTTTATATCTGTCTGGGGTCCTACATATTCTACAGAAAAAGTTGCGTAATTCAAAAAAAATAATTTTAGAGTTTCCAACAAATTTAAATTTTGTGCCCTGAGGCAATATTTAAATTTAAAATTTATTCGAGAAAAAATAATTAATTTTTTGCAAGCAAAAAAATTAAAAAAAAATTTTTAATACAAATTATTCATCGGGCAGGGTAATGGGTAATCTTCTCACACCACAAAAAATGTAAAAAAAAGTGAAAAAACGGATTCTCTTTGCGGACAGGGTGGACCCCCCCCCCCCCCAACTGAACCCCTTACCAGGGTGGAGGACTTGTTAATACTCCTCTCAGGTGGTTTCCCAAAAAATTTATCTGAATGTTTACACCCTCATTATGTTTAGCAAACACTAGAGCTATGGCAATAGTAGTAGCACCACCACCAATTAATACTCACCAAATAATTCAATGTTTTACTTCTTTTTCTGGCCGCAATCAAGTGATCTACTTCAGCGTTCATTTTTTCAGAATTTAAAATTTTAAAAAGAAATTTCTCTAAATTTTTTAATGTTGGGTATGTGCTAGTAAAAGGCTGAGGCTTTAGCCAGTCGGTGTTTTGATGATTTTTCTGACAAAATTTTTTAAACTTATTTTCGTCTTACAGCTGGATTTATTTTTGTTCTCAATTTTTTACATTTAATTTTTTAGTAATTAAACCAAAATTACAAAAATGTCTGCCATCCCTCTACCGCAAATTGTTACTTCTCCCTCCAATTGTATTTACTTCAATTCTGGCCCTAATCAAACAATTTATTTTAGCGTATTTTTTAATATTTAATTTTTAAAATTTTTGATTTACCTTAGATACAAAATACGGGAACTAGAATGATTATTTTCAAAATTACAACCAATTCTCAAATGATTTTCATAACCCCAACTACTGGAAACTTGAAAGGAAAAGAAGAAATCAAAATTCAATTAACAAAAAGATGCTCGGCAAAAAAATCAGAAACAATAACTATTGAATGGATGAACAAGATATTTGGGAAACAAAATTTATTTGCTTCAAATGGGATAGTCTTCACGCCCCAGATACAATTTTCTTTAAAAACTTTCTGTCCAGATTTAGCCAATTGGTCCATTCTATAGTGAATATTTCAGATTCCTGTCCAATATAATAGCCAACACAGGTAATTGCGAACAGCATTTGGGCCTTTCCACTAATCACACCTTTATTTGGTTATTTTCACACCTTTATTTGGTGTGATTAGTGGAAAGGCCCAAATGCTGTTCGCAATTACCTGTGTTGGCTATTATATTGGACAGGAATCTGAAATATTCACTATAGAATGGACCAATTGGCTAAATCTGGACAGAAAGTTTTTAAAGAAAATTGTATCTGGGGCGTGAAGACTATCCCATTTGAAGCAAATAAATTTTGTTTCCCAAATATCTTGTTCATCCATTCAATAGTTATTGTTTCTGATTTTTTTGCCGAGCATCTTTTTGTTAATTGAATTTTGATTTCTTCTTTTCCTTTCAAGTTTCCAGTAGTTGGGGTTATGAAAATCATTTGAGAATTGGTTGTAATTTTGAAAATAATCATTCTAGTTCCAGTGTTTTGTATCTAAGGTAAATCAAAAATTTTAAAAATTAAATATTAAAAAATACGCTAAAATAAATTGTTTGATTAGGGCCCGAATTGAAGTAAATACAATTGGAGGGAGAAGTAACAATTTGAGGTGGAGGGATGGCAGACATTTTTGTAGTTTTGGTTTAATTACTAAAAAATTAAATGTAAAAAAATTGAGAACAAAAATAAATCCAACTGTAAGATGATGAAAAAAAGTTTAAAAAATTTTGTTAGAAAAATCATCAAAACACCGACTGGCTAAAGCCTTTTATTAAGCACATACCCAGCATTAGTAAACATACCCAACATCTAAAATTTAGAGAAATTTCTTTTTAAAATTTTAGACTTCTGAAAAAATGAACGCTAAAGTAGACCGCTCGATGGCCGGCAGGAAAAGGAGTAAAACATTGAATTATTTGGTGAGTATTAATTGGTGGTGGTGCTACTACTATTGCCTTAGCTCTAGTGTTTGCTAAACATAATGAAGGTGTAAACATTCAGACTTCTAATTCTAATTCTAATAACAAGGCAAAGATAAAAATTAAATTTTTTGGGAAAATCAAAGAATCATTCTTAAAAACATTATAATCAGACCCCACTAGAAGATACTCCTAAAATACTCATAAGCTTTTAAATCCGGTTGGCTATTTGACGGGAGGGAGAGGAAACACCCTAAGCGATCCTTACTTATTACTATAAAATAGTAATAAGTTTAAACTAGAGTAGCAACCCGACCCCGAACCCCGACATGCCTTCCCCGGCAAACCCCGATCTCCGACCCCGAAGGGTCTGGTTGCTACCCAAGTTTTAAACATTTCCGGAAAACAAAAAAAATATTAAAAAAACTGTCATTTTTCAAAGTTTCCCTCAGCCTCCTTCCAAAAAGAGCAAAAAGCCATTTTTATCATTTGTGGTTGTTTCCCGTTTAGTTTGGATTTGATCTGTTAGTTGAGCAATTTGTTGTTGAAGCTAAAAAACATTTTAATTAAAAAAGTTTCAATACAAAAAATACCCTCAAAATAAGTTGCTTTTCAGTTTCTGCTTCTAAAGTAGTCATTTCAACTTGTGATGAAATTCTTCCAAGTTTATTTGTAGGTGATAAACGTTTGAGTGTTTTAAAGGTAATATTGGATGGAAAAGAGACCCAAAGTTGGTAGTCTAAAAAAAATTTTTTTAATAACTTGAAGCAAAACATGTTTCATTTTTTTGCTTCAAATTTAGTTTTAAAAGAGAAAAAAAAATTTTTAAAAATCTAAAACTAGGGAAACTAATCCAAAGCAAGAAAACTAAAATTAGTAGTGGTTTAATAACCGAGATAAAAATTTAGGTTTTAAAAAAATGAAAACCGTCGAAAAAAATATGCTTCAATTATACAAAATAAAGAGATCATGTTTTGCTTCAAAAGCAGAAAAGCAATTTTCAAAAATTTTTTATTGAAAAATATTTTTTAAAAAAATTTAGAAAATGAAGCAAAACCCCAAAATAAAAGCTTATCAAAAGAAAACAAGAATGCTTCAAAAACTGGAAAATGAAGCACGCTTCAATTACAAAAATTAAGTGAACCATGTAATGTTCAAAGAATAAAATTGAAGCAAAAAAGCTTCGAAAATTTTTTTAAAGTGAAGGGGCGAATTCAGTATTTCTGGGTTCAGGACCAATGGGCATTTGGGTCCGGGGGAGTCTTATTCATTACAATTAATCTAACAATAAGAAAAAATTTACCCTTCGTTACTGCAAGGAAAAAATGAAGGCCCACCTCATTTTAAAGGCACACCTTCCAAATATTCAACAAAAAAACAAACCTTAATTCAAAGAAATTTACGCCCAACAGTCCAAGAACGTCAATCAATTCCAAATTCACTTCCTTCAAAAAAGTTCCTTCGGGAAAGCAAAGCGTGTCAACAACACAAAGCGTGTCAACCTGAGCGTGTCAACAACATGATGAGAAGCTTGTGTTGTGATTTGCTGATTAATTTGAACTAAACAGAATATAAAATAATAAATTTAAAAATTAATAACCAGAAAGAGGTGCAATTCGAATAAGACGTCCATTTTTATCCAAAGATGCATCGGATCGCAAATTGTTTATCCAAGACTTTTTGCACGCATTCAATTTGACTAAAATGTTGTAAACCATCCAACATTGAAAGAAGCGCCCAAATAGTAAAATCGCAAGAACCAGGAAGCAAGCAAGCTGCGCAATAAATTTTAAATTCAGAAAAATATTTAATGACAAATTTTGGTACATCCGTTATATGATCACAAATTGAGTGCCAACCGAATTTGATCGGCTATAAATTTTTTGGGCTTGATACAATTAAAATTAATCTTATATCAATCGAAAGCCATCGATAAGCGGTAGCTTTTTTCTGTTTGGATAGATCAAGCTGACGACTGAGTCCGCAAGATATGTCCGCAACTCACAAAAAGTTATAGCTGATAAAAGTGAGCTGCTACTTAAAATTGTGGGCATATAACAGATAATTACCCAAATTTTAATAAATTTCCCCCAATAAAATTAATTTAACATTAGACGGTACTTGTAGGTTATTCCAAACCAGTTTTTGCGGACATATCTTGCGGACTCATGAAAGTTGCAAGTCCCAATAATTCCCCCCAAACAACCATCACTTCCCCGAACATATTGAATAAAGCAAGGGAAAATATGGATGTTCTGACCCTTATGAGACCAATTAATGCATCAGAGTAAATATATCCGTTTGGGATAACTCACAAGTACCCATTAGAATTTTACAAAATTTTACCTTGTAAGCGGACGTTAAATTTGTCCTGGTCCAATAAATAGAGAAGTAGTAGAGTACAAATTGATTGACTATCAAAAAGTTGAAGAGCACTCCCATTTGACTGAGTCATTATAGAAATTTGTAAAATTTGAAGCAGAAGTACTCGAACGCATCCACAAGTTTGAAAAAGATGAGGCATTGCAAAGTGTCTATGATGATGGCGAATTCGAGGCCGCAAATTATTTTGAGCATAAACTCGGCATGGCGTTGCCGAGTTTAATCTAAAAAATTTTGGGAGAAAAAATAAGAAATAAAAAAAGTATTGATAATACTTTGGAACACTCTCCCCCCTTTTTTTCTGTTTCCCTTTCTGGTATCTGTTCCTTTTCTGGCAAATTATATATCATTCGATAGAGCTCTTCGAGCTGAGTCGAATGTCAATAAAATTAATAAAATCTGACTTCAAAAAAATCAGAGAAAGGGGGGGGGGGTCTAAACCAAAGTATTACCAAAATATTCAAAAATATCGTGCGACAACAATACATAATAAAAAAATTTAAAAGATTGCTTTACAATTAAAAAAAATAGGATTCGAAGGCGCAAATTTTTAGGATTTTCGAAGGCCGTACTCCGCCTTCTCACGGGGTTTTGCGTCACGCGTCTTGCTGAAGTCAACTATTTCTAGGCTCTGGACTCAGTAACATAAGCGTTCCTTTTTACAGATTTCAGCGTTAATATGCCAACGTGCAGAGATAGAAAAAAATGACGAAGTTCGAAAGTCGTAAACCGGAAATAATAAACGACAAAATGCCACAGGGAAAAATGTTAGCAAGTGATTTTTATTTCAATTAGTCAACAGATGAGGGAATCAACAGAGATTAGTGGGATTTGAGTGATTAAGATGGATATTGAGAAATATTGAGGGATTTAGAGGATTGAGAGAGATGCAGAGTGTTATCAGGAATTAAAAGGGATATTAAGAGATTCAATTATTAAATGAAAAGTCAACTTGAAATGTGTCATGTTTTGAATAAAGGATCGTCTACTGAACTCTGTGCACTGAAAGGATGGGAAAGAATTTAAAAAATGGAGTAAGTTTTGGTGAAACATGTAGTACCTACTTTTGTTTTATACGGAAATACTGATTTTATTTTGGAACAAAACCAGGAGAAATCTACAAAATTCAAGGCTATCGATACTTATACGAAATAAAAAAGTAAAGTCCATATTTCTTTTCAATGTAAAGATCTCGGTACCCCAAAAGCAATTATTTATATGAAAAACGAAAAATAACACAAACAACATTTGTGACAATATATACTTATGTTGGGAATAGGGTTGCCAAAATGGACCGACTCGGACCGAAAGATCGAGTCGGCCTAAGATATTTGGCCCGAAAAAGACTCGTACAGCCCGACTCGATGAAATCAATCCCGAAAAAATGCCTCGACCGTCGGGCCGACTCGAAAACGGCAACCCTAGTTGGGAAATCAGAAAATACATTTCAACTGAATAGGGTGAGTGATCACTTTTATTATCGGGAAGTCAATGGAGATAACTATCATTACATCACATCAACGCTGGAACACATGGAACGAGCAGCGCAAGTTCTCGTCGATGGACATAATTGCGCCGGCGTTGGTGTACCAGCGGGCGAAGTGCGGCACACTGAAGAGCGTGATGAGCCTCCTGTTTGCGAAGAACTCAACACCCTCTTGCACAACCTAAAAATGAGATTAAATGTATTTAATGCGTGATTGAATGTTGATTATAGTAGTACCTGGTGAGCACGCACGATCAAGTCAATGTCCAATTGTTGGCAAATACGAGCGACAACGTCTTCGCCAAACGTGACACTTGCACCCTGCGGACTTCTTACACAGTCTTGAACACCATTTTCCGGATCGGCCCAGAGCAAGTCGAGCTCAATTCTTGGGATTGCCGCGTCGAAGTCAAACACCGGGCGACGGAGAGAACGCAACTGGTCCAAACTTTGCAGACGATCAGAGATTCCCCCGTGCATGCCTAAAGGAAAAATTCAGAGGATGCCTTTTCCTAATTATCCATCTACACTTACACAGGATCCTCCCGCCAACCAAAGCAGTGAACGGCAGCCAAGCGAACGCCTGGTTGAATGTTATCCAGAGCAATTGAGTGTCGCGTGGGTATTGTCGGCGGATCTCCTTGAAGAACCCATGGACACGATTGATGTTGCTGCATTCGTGGCTGCCGCGCAACAGGAAGAAATTTTGCGGGTATCTTGTTTTGTAGGCCAAAAGCAGGACAGCCGTCTCGATGCTTTGAGGGCCGTGGCCGACGTAATCTGCGAAATTTTGAAAATCTTATTAGAAGAGCTGTTGGGTCTTTACCTCCGAGAAAGAGGAAGTTTGTCAGCGGTGGAAAGTCAACTTGATGGAAGATGCGCATCAAGTCAGAAAACTGTCCATGGATGTCACCGCATACAACCACGGGCGGTTCGATCTCCACCAGAGACGGTTGAACACGAAGAACTTCAATGGCGCTATGGCACAGAGCTTTGATTTCTGCTGGGGTGACCTTCATAAATGGAAATTTTTAATGATTGCAAAAGTTTAAAATAACAAACAACACCTACCAGTTGCATGAAGCGGTGCGAGTCCGTTAGCAAAATGCGTCTGATGAGGCCATCCACCTCCGCCAAGGTCAGCGTCGGATGTGCCATTATTCGTTGTGAAGTCTGGAGTGCAAAGGCCAAGTTGAGAAGAGTAGCTGTCGACGTAACAATTGGAGTAAGTAGTTAAAGTAGTTTGCCTATATTGAAAATTTATAAATTTTGCCTTTTCCATTTTCCCTTTTCCATTTTCCACATTTTTGCCTTTTCCATCTTTTGCCAATTAGGCTAAGAATCACGTTTTGTCAACAAAACTTTTGACAAAACGCAGGTTTTTACCCATGTTGGCAAAAAGTGTTATTGGCAAAATGTATCTGCATTATCTAGATTTTTTTCACTTTTAATTCATAACGCCAAAATAAATTTTTTATAATGATATTCAAAAGTAAAATATTTTCTTTGCGAATTCTCGTTACCAATTTTATTTTTTAACCTAGTTTTGTTTCACTCATTATTTTTTAGTGATTGGAATACTTGCGGATTGGCTTCCAAAATTTATAAAAATCTATTTTTTAGATCTCAAATCCAAAAAATGATTCATGATGATTTTTACGACACTTCCGATGATTATTTGTTTGCGACAGAAAATCAGGAAATTGAGGATTCTCCGAGTGTTACACTTGATGCACAGGTTTTTAATTTAAATTAGAGATGGTAGACTGGCTGGGCTCCCCCTTAATTCTTCAGAAATGCTCATAGTAGGGGTAAGACGTCCTCAATTTTGATTGCTTTATTCTGAGAGAACATTCATTTATTTTTGGAGTTTAGGGATAGAATTTAATGATCTAGGGTTGTTTCTCATCATAATTTGAAACTAGAAACCTCTTATTCTACCCCAATTCAATAATATTTAATTGGGACACAATTTGGGATCAAATGTCACCAAATATTTAATTTCTGATTTTTACCTAATTTTAGACCCAAAATGATCAATTATTACCTCAAATCAAGGATAAACCAGAAAATTGTTCAAATTTACCAAATAACGACGAAAATGAAGATGAACTCAACTCAGTCACTCCATCATCCGAAACAATTTCAATTTTAAAAAAATATTTTGGATTTTCAAAATTTCGTCCTTTACAATACCAAATTGTCCATTCAGCAATTCTAAAAAGGGATCAACTTGTTGTGATGTCCACTGGCTATGGAAAAAGTATTTGCTATCAAATGCCTGCTCTTTTACAAGAAGGACTTATTACTTTGGTTGTTAGCCCGCTAATATCTTTAATGGAAGATCAAGTGTTTGCTTTACAGTTGAGGGTTTTTAAATGTTATTTTTTAAAATATATTAAAAATTTTATAAATATTAGGAAATTAACAAAAATTTAAAATAGTTGCCCTTAATTTTTTAAATTTTTTAAAATTGGGTTGGGTCTTGGTCTTGTGGTATAGGAATGTTTGATCCGGATCCGAAATAATTTGGTTGTTCTAAATTTCGGGCCGTATATCGCATCTGGATATCCATAAGTTTCACAGGTTCACCCAACTTTACTATGATATAATCGGGGTGGTTGAAATAATTTTAACCCTTGACTTCCCGCTGACTCACTTTCCCTGGCATTCCCGCTTCTCCATGTATTCATTGTGGCCCAGATCGGTTCCAGGCAATCCTCTCGGGCCTGGCTCCTTGTCTTTACCAGGCTTTCCATCATCGCCAAGTTTGCCTGGTGGATCGGGATAGCCTGAAGGACCGTTGGGGTTAATTGGTCAGTTTTCGGAAAAGGAGCGACTTTTCTATTATCTTTCTACCTTCCAAATATAGCATTAAAAAATTTTAATAGGATTTAAACATATAATTTTTTTATTTTTTAGACAAGCAGGAATTGAAGCAGCTTATTTAGGAGGAAATTCAAATATACCTCGTGATGTTATTTTTGACCAAATTAGAATGAATAAACTTAAAATTTTGTATATTACACCAGAAATGTATGAATGTTCGCCAAGCTATGTTGATAGAATTGCTCAATGTAAGAGGGGTTTTTTTGGAAATTTTTAAGGGGGTTTTGAAGAGGTTTTTGGGGGGTTTTGAGGGTTTTGGACAATTTTCCCTCTTAAAATTTTTTTTATTTTTTTCAGTTGTTGGCCTCTTGGCTGTAGACGAAGCTCACTGTATCTCTGCTTGGGGACATGAATTTAGACCTGGCTATAGAACAATTGCAAATATGAGAAAATCTTTACCTAAAGTCCCAGTTATGGCCTTAACTGCTACAGCAACAGAACCCGTTAGAAATGATATCGTTGAAAATTTGAGGCTGGTATCGCCTAAAATTACTGTGACGGGTTTTGATAGGTTTGTTTTTATTTTAATTTTTGGGAGGTGGTTAGTTAAAATTTTATTTTTGGTCTGTTTAAAGTTAATTTTCGATCCACAAGTTGCCTGAATTTTTTTATTTTTATCTGAGGACATCCCAACTAGTGTTATTCACGGTACCGTATTACGGCGGTATTTTTCGGTAATACCGCCGTATTTTTACCGAAATACCGATACCGAATACGGCACCGAACAATTTTTAAAAAATCGGTATTTTTTCGGTATCGGTATTTTACCGAAAATACCGATACCGATACCGAAAAAACGCGTTTGAATAACTCTAATCCCAACTGATTCAAAATAACCCAAGTTTCTGGGATGCAATAGTATCATTCATCTTTTTTTATCTGTCATATTCCTCCTCTTATTGATATTAAGGTAAGGATATCTTCAGAATCGTCAGTATTTAATATTTTTATCGGGTTATTTTCGTATGGTTATAGTGCTTTAAAGTTGGCTATAGGCTATCAACTAATCTGTCTAATCAATAGAATGTGCCTAAATAAGTACATACTTAATGCTGACAGTTCTGAAGGTTCCTTGTAAATATTACCTCCTTTGTAAATTTTATTCGTAAATTATTTTTAATTCATTTTTTTTTATTTTAGAAAAAATCTCTTCATTGAAGTCAAGAAACGAACACAATCGCTCACGTATTTTTACTTTTAAATTTATTTTTAAATATTTTCGTCTATTTTTTAGTTTCCAAAGAGCAGTTCAAAATGATTTGGAATCCCTTTTAATTGAAGATCCCAAACTTGGGTTACATTTTGGTGGCTCTACTATAATCTATTGTCAAAGTAGGGATCATGTAAATCAAATAACAGAACAATTAAGAAGTTTGTTTTTTAATTTTTTTTTCTTTTTTTTCTTGTATAGGTTTAAAAATTAAGTTTTTTATAATTTGAAGCGTAAATTAAACGGTTATTTTAAATTACCTTTTTGGATCCTTTTTGAAAGTCCTCGAAAATTTTTCCTTCAGTGTATTGAGTGTTTTCCTTTTTGTTTTGTCTTGAACCTACTTTTTAACCTACCTACTTAATAGATAAGAAACTAAAGTCTATTTTGTGTGTTGTATGCTTGAGTGGGTAATACGCTTGACTTTTTAGGATTTTGTTATTTATAGGACTGGGGCCCGATTCGAATCGGTCCGAAAATTCGAGTTGTGCATTGAATTTTGGCCTGAAAAAGACTCGGTCGGGACGGCCCGATAAAAATCAAATAACAGAACAATTAAGACGTGCGGACGTTTTATTTTAGAAACCAGACCCGGTCGGGCCGGAAAAATGACTCTAACGTCGGCCCGACTCGAAAACCCCAACCCTAGTTATTTATGTTGTGCGTTCGAGCATTTTCATTCTTCTGCTATTAGGTATTATTATTTGAATAAAATTTGTTTTATTTCAAAATAAAAAGAATTTTTATTTTTTAGAAACAGGAGTTCGTGCAGTAGGTTATCATGCGGCAATGTCAAATAAACAACGAGAAAAATCCCATAAAGAATTTTTAACAGAAAAGGCAACAACTTGTGTTGCAACAATTGCTTTTGGAATGGGAATTGATAAAAGAGATGTTAGAAAAGTTATACATTATGGATGTACGGTTTACTTTTTTAAGAGAAAAGGAAAAAAATTTAATTTTTATAGCGCCAGGAAATATTGAAAGTTATTATCAAGAAATTGGAAGAGCTGGACGTGATGGATTTCCTAGTAGATGCACAGTATTTTATTCTAATAGTGATATGCTTATACACAAGTTTGTTTAAAGTTTTTTGTTTTTTTATGATTTGCGGACAAAACTTACGGATTTTTTAATCTTTAGTTTTTAATTCTTCTGAAATCTCAATGGCCTCTTTAATTGATTTTTTCGATTTTTCAAATCCAACTTGACATAACTTTGACGTCTTTGTATAGGTTACTTATTAAGAATCGTTTGAATGAGAATGAATAGGATATTTTAGGTTAAAGATTTAGCCTAATCTAGGACCGGTTTTTCGGTTAACCATAAACCAGTGGACAGTCAAAACCGAAACTAGGAGTCGAAGACCGGCTATACTCGAAAACCGGGGAGTACCGTTCAGTAATTGGTCTTTAACAACTTTAGATAAAAATTTTTTAATTTTTTGAGCAAAATTTGCGGGCATATTTTCTTGTCCGCAATTTTTAAACTTTTTATTTTTTTGTTTTTTTCAAGAAATCGAATAATCAACAAAAATAATAACAATATAAATATAACAACAAAATCCTCAAAAGATTATGAAATGCATCAATTAGATATGCTTCGTCGAATGGAACAATTTTTAACGACAACAAGTTGTCGGCGTTATTTAATTTTGTCCTATTTCGATAAAAATGTAAAACATCCAGAAATTCCAAAAAGTGATTGTTGTGATAATTGTACAAAATTGTTACAATCTGGAGTAGATAAAAGATATAATAAAGAAGAAATGATTTTTGATTTTGGTGAAGAAGCTAAAAAATTATTTAGAACAATTGTTGAAGTTTTTGGTGGAAGGACTGGATTAAATAAACCGATTGATTTTATTAGAGGAAGTGTAAGTTTTTTTTTGAGTTTTTTATAAAAAGGGAGGTTCTTAGAAAATCTTTTGATATTTGAAACCGAACTGAAAAATCACCAGTTTTTCGGTTCAGAGCCGAACCGAAGAACCCTAAAAATAAAATAATGGATTTTTCTGACAGTGAGTTTAACAATAAGATGTAAATTTTAAACTTCTTTGAAGGGGGTTGAGCAAAATGTGGTATGAGAACAGGCCCGTAGCCAGGATTTTTTTTCGGGGGGGGGGGGGAAAGGGGGAAAAAATTTTTCGCGCCAAATTTTTGGCGCCGAAGGCGCCAAAAATTTTTATTTTCAGCGCCGCAGGCGAAAATTTTGAGAATTTTGGACCTCAAGAAGCCAGATTTCGTCCTTTTTTAGCGCCGCAGGCGAAAATTTTTTAAATTTCAGAGGCCGTAGGCCAAAAAATTCACTTTTTTTGCCCCAGCCCTTCCCCAAATTTTTTCCTTTTTCCCATTTCGGGGGGGGGGGGGAATTCCCCCCCTCACCCCCCCCCCTGGCTACGGGCCTGTATGAGAAGTCGATGCCTTTTGTTTATGAGGATTTCTTGATTAATTCATAAGTTACATAGGAAAAATTATGATTTTTCTTTTTTTATTTTCTTTTATAAAATTCCAGGTTTTCTTTTGATTTTCTAATTAAAATTCATTAACATTCCTTGACATGAGACACATTTTTTTAATAAAAGTGTCTCTTAAAACTCACATTTTAAAAATTTCTGGTTATGGAAAATAGTGACTGGGCCAAAAGGATCGTACGAGGTATCTCGAAAAATATCGATCTAGATTTTTGTTCGAAATCACATCTCGGTCTGTCTCTAACGGAAAATTATTGGAATTTTTAAAATCTGAGAAATTCCTATCCTTGTATATTTGCAGATACTTTTTGCGGACAAATATTTTTAAATTAATTTTAAAAATAATTTTTTATAGAAAACAGTTTTATCAAAAGCACCAAAAACATTTACTAAAGGAGAAGATTTATCAAAACACCCACTTTATGGTTGTGGAAAATCACGTTCGGAAATGTGGTGGAAAGAATTGGGAAAATTATTAAGAAATTATGGTTATTTAATTGATTCAAAATCAACATTTAATCAATTTGGGTGTATTACAAATATTTCTGATAAAGCTGAAAAATGGTTAAGAGAAGGAGGAAAGGTTTGCAAAAATTTTTTACATTTAATTTTTAGAAAATTGGAAAAATTTTTTTTTCAATTTTTTGAAAGGGATTCAGATAACTTTTTCATCTCCTTCTTCTAATCTCCCCAAGAAGCCAGGGTATATTAACGAGAACGTACCCATATAAGTTTTGTTAAACAAAAAATCATAACCTTTTCACATTTTCATCCTGTTCACATCAGGGATGTGTCAGGTTTCGGTTCGGGTTTTCAAAATTTTCATAGAATCGGGTTTCGGATTTTGGCCCTCAAAAGACTCAGTCGGAAAAATCCTAATATCGGGTTTTGGATAACCCAGTCCGTCCTGGTTAACACATCCCAGCGTTGTTTAACTTGTTTGATCGTACATTCCTTAGTTCCTCTCCCCACATTACAACGACTGAAAAAAATTTAAATTTTAATTAATATTTTAGGAATTAAAATTAATTCCTTCTGAATATTTATCAAATTCAAATAATGTTGAAAATGGAGGAAAAGATTTGACTAAAACAACACTTTCAATTCCAAACAAAGTTGTAGAAATTATTTCAGAAAAATTATTGGGTATAGAAAAACAACGAGAATATAAAGATGCTAGCTGTTATCCTTGTATTGCTTCTGCTTCTGATAAGAATATTTTTGTCTATGAAGTGGTAAGTTGGTTTTTTATTTAAAAATGGTAAAAATTATAAAAATGTTTCAAAATGGTAAAACCTCAAAAAGGTTCATAATGGCAAAACTTCGAAAGTTTCAAAATGGTAAAAAGGGAAAAATACTCCATAATGTCAAAACCTTGATAATGTTTAAAAACATTTTTTTAGTTACCTCAACTTCGAAAAGAACTAGAAGATTTACGTTATCAATTGGCTCTTGAATCCGACTGTCCAGCCAACTCAGTTTACAGCAATACTGTTATTGAAGGACTTGTTAAAATCCGACCAACAAAGTATATTTTCTTAATTTTTCAATTAAATTTAATTATTAACATTTTTTGCATACTGGGGAACTTTTCGAACTGTCAGTAAAAGTTTTTTAAATAAAAATCAAAGTTTTGGTTAAGTGGGAAATGATTTTATTTCCACTGTCAAAGGGTTGCGGGTTCGACCCCGCTCGTTGATAATGATTTTTATTTTGGTGTAAATGAGTGGAAAAAAATTCTAAAAAATATTTTGAGTGATAAATGGTTAATAAAAATTTTTTTCAACGTCTAAGAATTTTTTAAAAATTTAAATAATAAAATTTTTTCTAGTGAAGCAACATTAGAGCTAGTTGAAGGCTTTCCTGAACAACGAAGAAAACAATTCCTAACTCCGATTACTCAACTTATTTCAAAATTTTGTTCAGAGAATAATATTTCTACGGACTCTAAGGAAGCTGAAATAGAGGTTTTTTTAATTTTAAAATTTTTTCTGGAAAATTTTTTATATAATTTTGTAGTTTCCTGAAGATTTGGAATCTCTTAAAAATGGATTGACTTTAACAGAGAAAAGTTATTATCATGCTCATGTTCTTTATAATCGATCATTGGTTTGTTTAATTTTTTATGGTTCTTTAGAACAAAAAAAAATTTTTTAACTAGAAGATGTTAGAAAGGCATTAATTAAAATTTCTATTTTCGGTATTAATTAACTAACTTAAACTTGGAAGAGGGGTTTTCTGGAATTTTTCGAAATAAATTTTTGTTGAAAAATCTCTCTTGACCAGTGTGGAAACTAGTAACAAAATCTTTATTTGTAATGTGTCAGAATTTTTAAAATTATTTTCTATGTCCGAGATGATCTGAAACTTGGAAAGGGGTCTATTTACGAGATACGAGGAAGAAAATAAGGCGTGTATAAAGGGCTAGTATGGACAAAGTTTTAAAATTTCTAATTTTAGGCTAATTATAAGTTCAGAGTTATTTTTGTCCCTTTCCAGGTTCCTGACATTTTTTGGGCGTGGAAAATTTTTTAAAAAACGTCGGTTTCATTTATATTTTTTAATTTAAATTTAGGAAGAAACTTCTTCATATATGAAAGCTACTTCAAGTACAGTTGCTAATCATCTTTCTACTGCAGCAAAACGTGGTTTACCTTTACATTTAAAAACGCTTGGAATAACTTTGGAATTAATTGAAATTGTTCATAATAAAATAAAGGAGAATGGAAGAGGTAAAAAAATTAAAAAATTTCTTTGGGATACCCCCCTTTTTTGAGTTTTTGTAAATTCTATAATTTTTAAGGGAGAATGTTTGTCTGGGGCTGTCTTGGAAATTTTTATACGAGCCACAATACATTAAATAAATTAGTTGGTTTATCCCATAGCTGTTCTGAAAGTTTGATTTTTGTGGGGGTTTTGTTTACGGTTTTGACTTTATGTGATCTTTTTAATATCAATTTTCTAGGAGTTTTTTTTGTTTCGGAACAAAAAAAAATTTTTTTGAGCTGTTCATAATTTAACAGTAAGGGCGTATCCGGGGAAAAGTGGCGACTTGGGTAAAAAAAATTTTTTTGAAGTTTTAGAAATTCTTTTCATTCGAAGGGAGGGGGGAGCTCTTATTACATTTTTTAATTTTTAAAATTTCTAAAAAAAATTTTTTTAAGACATAATTCGTCTAAAGCCTATAATGGAATTATTGCCTGAAAATCTTGTCGACTACAATCGTTTAAAAATAATATTTTCAATCTTGGAATATCAATATGGAATTGATACAAGTGAAAATGAAAATTTAAATTTGAATGAAGATTTAAAAAAAGGAGGGGAAGAAGAGGGTGAAGGAGTGAATGATGAAGAAAAAAAGGAGGAGGAGGAAGAAGATATAATTTCAATATCCTCATCCCCTAAAAAACGAAAATTACCTTTTTGGTTAAATTCGAAAAAAAGAAATGGGGGCAAAATTGATGAAGAAAATTATGTTTATAATACTGGGGCAACTACTACAACAACGAAGAGAAAAAATTTTAAACAAATTAAAATTAATAATTCAATATTTTCTTGAAAAGGGAGATTTTTTTGAATATTTTGAGTAAAAAAATTTTTTTTGAAATTCTTATCACTTAAAAATAGGGTAGCACCCCGAGCCTTGGGGTCGGAAGTGTAGGGGATCGGGGTTTGCCGGGGAAGGCATGTCGGGGTTCGAGATTGACTTTTGGTTCGGGGTTGAATGTCGGGGTTCTACCCTACTTAAAAACAATATGTTCGAGCTATTTTATTTATTTCAATTTCTTTTTTCATTCATAGGGTAATCGGTTCGATTCTTCGGACGGTTACGGATATCCAAAAAATTTTTAAGAACCGGCAACCTTAATCAATTCATTAAAAATTTATTGTAAAAAAATTTTTTTGAATCTCTTGATTTTTTTTCTCTCCTAATTTTTTTTGATTTTTGTGGCAATATAAATTGATGAATAAAATGACAATAAAAAAATTTTTTTTTGTAAAAATTAAAAAAATTCGTAATTTTTTACGAAATTTCTGAAAGAAATTTATCTTTAAAAATTTATTTTTTTTTAATTCAAAAAAAATTTTTTTAGAAAATTATTTGAAAAAATGTCTTTAACTTCAACTGTATTAAAAAATTATTTTTGTCGCAATTTATTCAAAATTCAGTCAAGACAATTAAATTTACAAGAATATCAAAGCAAAGAATTGTTACGTTCAAATGGCTGTGTTGTTCAAAATTTTTTTGTCTGTGGAAAAGAGGAGAAGGATTTGGATAAACTTTTTGATAAATATGGTTCGTTTTTTTTCAAAGGTTTTTTAACGAATATTTTTAAGATTCGAAATGAAAATATGACGAACGCATAATTTATTAAACACGAAATTTTGTGAAAGAAGTCGAAATTTCGTTTTTATTTCGGAAAAGCGAAATTTCGTGAATGAAATCGAAATTTCCTATTTATTTTGAAAAACGAAATTTCATAAAGAAGATGAAATTTCATATTTATGTAGAAACTCGAAATTTCGTATTTTTTAAATTTCGTAAACAATCTCGATAAAAAATCGATAAAAAATTTCGTATTTTTAATAATGAAAGTAAGATTTACTAATTCTAAATTAAATTTTAGATTACAAGGAATATGTAGTTAAAGCTCAAATACTTGCTGGAGGCCGTGGTAAAGGTCGCTTCATTAACAGTCAATTTAAACAAAGTGGTGTGTTTATTACTACAAGGTTTTTTTAAATTAAAAGATTAATTTAATTTGTAACCGTCAAAATTGTGAGGATTACGATTCGTGTTTTAAAATTAAAAAAACTTTCGATTTTGAGGGGTTCAGGGAAAGAGTTGAATCGGGGATAGGTCGGGTCTCAATCCGACCCATCCCGGGTTCGAAGCAATCTAATTCGAAGCAACCTTCCGAACTGTCTGTAAAATTTAATAAAAATTATAGCGTTAGTGCGTAGTTGATACCTATTGGAATTTTTTGGCGTCGACCCCCAAATCGAAAAGTTATAGTGGAAAAACTTTGAACCTCTATAACTTTTCGATTTGGGATCGACGCCAAAAAATTCCAATAGGTTATCGACTACGCACTACACGATGCTATAATTTTTATTTAAAAATTTTTACTGATCGTTCGGAAGGTTCCCTTGTAAGCTAAAAAATTGGGGAAAAGTATTTGAATCCTTTCAGTACTAATGTGAAAGCATTAAAAAAATTTTACTTTAAAAAAATTTTTTTAGTCAAGAACAAGCAAAATTTTCAACACTTGGTATGTTAGGAAGAAGATTGGTAACAAATCAAACTGGATCAGATGGTGTTTTAGTCAATCATGTTTGTTTATTTTTTAATCAAAAATTAAAAATATTTTTGAAATTCGAAATAAAAATTTTTCGAAACTCGAAATTTCGTCATCTCGAAATTTCTCGAAACTCGAAATTTCGCAAACATGAAATTTCGTCACTGAAGTCTAAATATTTTCAAGCTCTTATTTTTCAGGTTATGATAGCCGAATCAGTCCCTATTAAACGTGAAGCTTACCTTTCTATTCTTATGGATCCGTCTACTAGTGGACCGGTTAACTCTTCTTTATTTTAATTTTTAAGAAAAAATTTTTTTAGGTAGTTGTCGCCTGTCATTTGGGAGGAGTGGATATTGAAAAGGTGGCAGAAAGAAATCCTGAATTAATTTTAAAGGTAAATTTCAGGATTAGAAAACGATTAAAAAATTTATTTAGCTGCCAATATGTATAAATAAGGGAATAACTAAAGAACAATGTGAACAAGTCACAGAATGGTTATGTTTTGATAATGAAGCTGTTCCGTATGTAAGCTACATATTTTAGTAAATTTATGAGAGATTGAAAAAATAGTATAGAAAAAGAGGAGAGTTTTTAGACAATTTCCGGAAAACTTGAGGAATTTTTGCTGTAGAACGATTTTCTATAGTTTTTTAAGTAAATGTAGAGAAAGAAAACTTCAGGAAATAGTATAGTAAAGGAGGAGTGTTTTCAGAACTTTCCGGAAAACATTTCCGGAAGGTTAATATTGCAAGAGGTTTGTCTATAGTCTTTTTCCGGAATGGTTTTTATATTACTATAAATATACTAATTGTAAGAAAGAGAAAGTTCAAGAAATAGTATAGAAAAAGAGGAGAGTCTATAAACTTTCCGGAAAACTTTTTCCGGAATGATTCTAAGAAGACTGTCTACACTATTCTAATATTCTTTTCTTCTTTCCATTTAACTATACAAAGCATTTTCGTCTACTTTCTTTCTCTCTCTTCGTGTCTTTCTTTTTCTGTAGTTTCTTTTCTCTCTTAAAACAGTGCTATCTAATATAGCTTCTCTCATCCCTATTTCTAACCTAATTTTCTTTTTTAAATTTATTTTTCATTTATATTTTACTTTTCTTTTAAAAAGTATCGCTTCTCGGCCTTTAGGCTAAGATCAAAGTGTAGTATCTGTTCTTTACGGCTTAATCTCCGTAACGATCCCTACCGGGGTCAAAGAGATTAACCAATTTTTGGAAAAGGGTAAGAGTTGGAAGCTTGCTTCCTCTCTTCCGCGTGTCGGCCCGGTCTTGCACTTACCTCCGGGAACGGCGCATTCCTCCCTTATGGGAGGATCAAAATCTGTTTTTAAAAGTCCAAAACTAGGACCAACCCAAAGAGGTCAACTCCCAAAAGGTCAGTTAACCATGGACAAAATATTTGGGTGGGTAACAGGTATAAAACGATTTCGGAAGATTAAAACAATTTTTTGATATTAAAGGGGATATGATGGGTTTGGCCTGCTTAAGATGGATTTGTTGGGGTTAAGAGACACCAAACAAAAATTGACTCTATATGAAAATAATGCGGGAATCAAATTTTTTCCTTCATTTTTTCCTTTCCATATTTTTCTTTAAGACTTTTTCCCTCGTTCACTTCCAATGAATTTTCCTGTGGCATGTTCAAATGTAATTATAGAGAAAAGATTAAAAGCAAAAAATCAAAAATATCACATTTTTGTGTTGTCTGACAGAAAACACGGACAGACAAAACACGGACGAAGACGGACAGACAAAACACGGACGAAGACGGACAGACAAAACACGGACGAAGACGGACAGACAAAACACGGACGAAGACGGACAGACAAAACACGGACGAAGACGGACAGACAAAATACGGACAAAGACGGACAGACAAAACACGGACGAAGACGGACAGACAAAACACGGACGAAGACGGACAGACAAAATACGGACAAAGACGGACAGACAAAACACGGACGAAGACGGACAGACAAAACACGGACGAAGACGGACAGACAAAATACGGACAAAGACGGACAGACAAAACACGGACGAAGACGGACAGACAAAACACGGACGAAGACGGACAGACAAAATACGGACAAAGACGGACAGACAAAACACGGACGAAGACGGTCAGAAAAAAGTATATGCTCCCAAAATGAAAGAAAAATAATCCTTTTGCGTTTATAGTCTTAAGGCACAAATCAAAAATAGAGAGAAAAATATATGTAAGAAAATTAACCGTTTTTAAGAATAAGGAAAAAATTTGATTCCCGCATTATTTTCAGATAGTGCCCAAAAATTGGAACTGTCATACATATATGACAAAAGGGAGTATCCTAAATTATTCGTATCTTAAAGCTATCCCTACAAATATTTGGAGCTAACCTCCAAGTCCAGTAGATCCTTAGTCCATTAGACCTTCTTGGGTTGATCCCTTAAAAATAAATAAAAAATAATTGAATTAAAGACGTTTTTTAATTTTTCTAGGCTGCAAAACAAATTCAGAAATTATACGAATTTTTTATTAAAGTGGATGCTACACAAATAGAAATTAATCCGTTTGCACAAATTGAGGATGGGAGAGGTTTTTATTTTTTTAAATTAATTTTCAAAATTTTTAAATTTTTTTTAAAGTTTATTGTATTGATGCCAAATTAATATTTGATGATAATGCCGCTTTTAGACAAAAAAATATTTTTGAGTTGAATACATGTGAAGAAATGGTATTTTTTTGATTTTTTGAAATTTTATTGAATTTTTTTCATAGAGTCAGAATGAGATTTTGGCCAAAAGATTTGGTTTAAGTTATATTCCAATGGATGGAAATATTGCTTGCATGGGTATTTTTTTATTTTTTTAAAAATTTTATTGTTAATTAACAAGTTAATGGTGCTGGTCTTGCAATGGCTACAATGGTATGAATAAATAAATTGGTTTGGACGAGTTTAGTTTCCCAATAAAGTTTTTTTGAAGTTTTAGAAGTCCCTTAGAAGTTTATGTCCAGCCAAAAGTTCCAACTAAAAACCCGATGAAAAATGATTAATTAAAGTTAATGGGGCTTGTAAAAATGCACTTTTCTGCGGCCTTTTCTTGTAGTTCTTTTTTGATAAGACATGTCAGAAATCCTACCTACTGTAAAATTTTTGACCCAAAAAAGTCCAAAATTTTTTATAGTTTCTGGTTCGGGGTGGCATTGATGATTTGTGTCCTTATGGGCATTTTGGAAACTTACACTTTTGTATGGACATAAACTTTCATGAAACTCTTTTAAACCTTTATTGGGCTTTAAAACTGTTCCAGAACCTTAAATTTCTATTTTTAAAAAATTTTTAAATATAATTTTTTAGGACATTATAAAGTTACACGGTGGTGTTCCAGCTAATTTTCTAGGTAATATTTGATTAAAAAATAAAAAAAAATTTTTAAAGATGTTGGAGGAAGTGCCACAGTGGAACAAGTTTCAAATGCTTTTAAAATTGTTGCTTCTTCCAACGATCAAAAAATCAAAGCTATTTTTGTCAATATATTTGCTGGAATTTTGAGATGTGATATTATTGCTGAAGGAGTTATTGCTGCTTGTAATGAACTTGAAAGTAATATACCTGTTGTTTTGAGGTTTTTATTTTGATTTTTATTGGGTTGGGGATTAGATTTTCGAGTTGGTAATAAGGAGGAAAGTCAAAAAAATGTGGGGGATTTTGAATTTTTTGTTGAAAATTTTTCGGCCGGAGCTTAAATAAACAAAAATGTATTAGCTTCGGGTTCTCAAGCCTTTCTGCTGTCTTTTTTTTGCATTCCTTTTAGTAAATATCAGGTCTGACACAGAGTCAAAAAATTGGGTATGGCTTGGAATCGGATTTTTTACTCTTGGAATGAGTATCGAACTTTAAATAATCCGAAACATCCCTGACGTATACATAAAAAAGAGACATTTTTTTGATTGACTGCCGAATAGTAAAAGATGGGAAAAAAGTTGTAGATAAAAAGTAAAACTCTTAATTGCCACAAATTTATTAAAAAACCATTGATAAAAAAATTTTAGACTTAAAGGAACTAATGTAGACAAAGCAAAATTAATGTTAAAAAATGCTTCTCAACTTAAAGTCAAATTTGAATTTTATGAATCATTTGAAGATGCTGCAAAGCGTGTTGTTGAATTGGCTGGTGGAGGGGGGAATAATGAACAGGTTAAAAAAGTGAAGGAATGTTGTGGTAGATAAATTGGAATTTTCTTGAAATTTTAATGTTTTTTAGGAATTTAAAAATTAATTGTTCAATTAATTGTTTTTGAGTTACCGACCTATTTCTAAAAAAAATTTTTTTTTAATTTTTTGCAGATGTCCGTAAAAGTTAATTGCGGATGTCCGCAAATTTTTTAGAGCCTGTTTTCAAAAAATAATGATGGAATTTTTAAAAATTTTAATTTTTACTGATGTCCGCAAAATTAATTGCGGATGCGGATTAATGGTAAATGTCCGGTTGGTGTCCTACATGTCCGCAAAGAGAATGCGCATTTTTCCTTCCTTTTCTTGCATTTTTTTCTGCAAGGAGTGGCGCCCATTTTTCCTTTGTGTATGGTAGCCTTTTGGCATGTCGAAGGAAAGGGGGAAAATAATAATAATTAATTACTAATAGAGTACAAATAAATATTTTATTTTATAAATGATCAGAGATGAAAAATTTGGGACAACATTCTCAAATAGATTTCTAAAATATCTGGGGGAATCTTAATCCATTCGAAATCTTAATCTGTTCCAGAACGCTTCAATCTGCTGTGTATTTGCACCGTTAACTGGATTCATAAAGAATTGTTGATGATTTACATTATTAGTAGGCATGTTTTGACACGCCCTAATTATTAGTTATAATAACTTTATTTACTGTTTGGTGTTGATATCCTAACTGATCTAAACCTAAAGTGAATTAATTCTGTTTGTAAATCAATCTAACATTATTAGTTAAAATAACTTTATTAGTATTAAATTAAGTACTCTATTAGTAATTAATTATTATTATTTTCCCCCTTTCCTTCGACATGCCAAAAGGCTACCATACACAAAGGAAAAATGGGCGCCACTCCTTGCAGAAAAAAATGCAAGAAAAGGAAGGAAAAATGCGCATTCTCTTTGCGGACATGTAGGACACCAACCGGACATTTACCCGGATTAATTGCTGATGTCCGCAAAAAATTTGCGGATGTCCGCAAGTTTTTTGCGGACATCCGCAAATATTTTTGTAGGTCTGCTAATAATAATGATATCAAACTATACGTAGGACAATTAATTTTGCAATAAATTAAAATTGTTTCCACTCTCTAAAATATTTAAGTCAATCAATAAATAATTTAATTTGTTATCAATAAGCATCTCCTTTATTTTAATAAGTCAATTATAATTTTAAATTGTTTTTTTTTCAACGTTGTTAAATTTGTTTAAAATAAAAAATGAATTAATTTACTTAAAAATGTTTGTTAGAAACGTTTATTTTATTTTTTAATTTTTTTAAAATTTTTCTAAATCTTTTTCAAAATTTTTTTCTAACTCTTTCACGGGGTTTTTTTAGTTTATGCGCCGTGTTGTTGTTTCTTCTGGTTTTTTAAAATTTTATTAAAAAAGTTTTTTTTTAATTTTTAGTTTCTAATATGACGTCATTGAACTCTACTAAACCCAAAATTTTGATGACTGATTCAACCTTTTATTTGACTAAACTGAAGGAAATTGGGGAAGTCGTTCAACACGGTTTTTCTTTTCAAAAATTTTTTAAATTTATTTTTTAAATTAATTATTTTCTGGCCAGGCACATCGGTGTGTATTTCAATATCCGCCATTTGCCAGAGATTACCTATGGCAATTGGCGGATATTTTAATAAGCTCCGAGATGTAACATTTTATCGTCGAACAACTAAACTGGTTTCACGACCACTTGGTTTTGAATCTACATTGCAGAGGTGAATCGGAATTCTGATTTCCGAGTTTCGACATTTGAGCCATTTCCGATTTCCGACAGTTCCGTTTTCCGGCACTTTTGTCATTTCCGATTCACCTCTGGTACATTGGTTTTTTCAAAAAATGTTTTTAATACTCAGAAAATTATTTTTGCCCCTACATTCCCTTTCTATCCGTCCCGATATGTCCGTTCCTACCGATTATTTTTTTTAAATTTCCTAATTCATAAAATAAATAAAATTTGTATTTTTAAAGATTCCCCTGGTCAAATGCCTCGAACTTTGTTGGAAGAAAAAATAGTTGATGTAGATGCTCTTTTTTGTTTAGTGAGGGATAAAATTGATAGTCAAATTTTAGAAAAAGGTTTTTTTTAATTTTCAATAAAAATTATTTTTAAATTAATTTTCAGCTAAAAATTTAAAAATGATTGGAACAATGAGTGTAGGTTATGAACACATAAATTTGGAAGAGTGTAAACGGAGAGGAATACGAGTTGGATATACTCCTGGTAATTTATATTTTTTTTTTATTTGGGGAAAAAATACAAGAACGGTTTAAATTAGAATTTATATTTTTTCTATATATTTTCCGGAAGAGTTATTTTTCAGAAATAACTCTAATTTAGTATATTCTCCAGAAAACACAAAAATTATATTTTCCTTTTCCGAAATGTGTTTTACGGGTAAAATTTAAAACCAGAATTATTTTCCGGGATAGTTATTAATATTCAACATTTCCGGAATTTATTCTTTAATAAATTCAAAATTTATTTTTAGATGTTCTTACTGAAACAGGTAATTAAATTAATTAAATGAAACACCGAAAAAATAATATATCAGAATTCAAATCAGAATTGGTTTACAGAATATATTTTTCAAAATATTAATCAGAATTTATTGTAACATTAACCATAATTTACTCCGTAATTTAAAAATTTTAATTTATTTTATTACATGAATGCATTTTTAAATCATGTAACCACCAAAATAATTCTTTATTTTTTCTTTATTTTTCTAGTAGCAGAGCTTGGAATGGCGCTTCTTTTAGCAACATCTAGAAGACGTAAAAATTTAAAAAAATATTTTTCTTAATTAAAAAAAATTTTTTTAATTAAAAAAAATTTTTTTAAATTTAGTTCCTGAAGCAATAAATTCTGTTAAAAGGTTAGGAAAAAATTTTTAAAAATCAAAAAAAATTTTTTTTATTTTTTAAAGTGGGGGCTGGAGAACATGGTCACCTTATTATATGTGTGGAAAATCTTTAGCTAATTCTGTTGTTGGAATTTACGGATTGGGAAAAATCGGGACTAGTATAGCAAATAAAATACAGCCTTTTATGCCTGAAAAGATTATTTATAATAATCGAAAGAAGAAGGAAGGTTTGTATTTTATTTTTTTTAAATCAGAATTTTTATGTATTTTTTGGAATATTAATAAAAATTTGTATTTTCCGGAATGTGTTTTAGGGGAATAAATGGGAGCTTACCGCGAGCCCAACTTACCGCATAGCTATAATCTCGTTCAGAATTGTCGAATCCGGGACGCCCTGGTATGGTTAGATGCGCCCGACGAGCTGAATCGAACCATACCAGGCCGTCCCGGATTCGACAATTCTGAACGAGGTTATAGCTCTGCGGTAGGTTGGGCTCGTGGTAAGTTGGGGGTGTACCCGGAATAAATATTAGAATTTAATTTTTCTATGTATTTTCCGGAAAATATAACAAATTAGAGGGTAATATTGAACCGGAAAGACCCCTTTCTTCCTCCCGAATTTTTTCCTCCCGAATTTTTCCCATCATTTTGCCTCCTTTTACTTGTTGTGTACTTGCACATGTATAAAATTAAATAATTTTAGGCAAAAATTAGAAAGGCAGTTTGGATGGAAGAAAGGAAAAGTCTGACCATTTTGTAAAAATATAAGGGAAAATTGGGGAGGAAAAAAAGTGGGTCTGTCCGGTTCAATATTAAAGGAGGTAGTATTTTTAGGAGGAGTTATTTTCAGAATTAATTTGTTTCAGAATATAACTCTAATTTATTATATTTTCCGGAAAACACTGAAATTATAAATTATTTTTCCGGAGTGTGTTTTTTTGTTTAAAATGAAGAGAACAATACCAGAATTAAAGGAATGTTCTCCATAGCGTTGTGGTTAGCGTCTTAGGTTCATCTTTTGAGGGGGTCGTGGGTTCAACCATTTGTGGCTGTTATATTTTTCCTTGGTCCCTAATTATTTTTTTTCGGAATTAAAAAATTATTTTACATAATTTGCTTAGGCAGGAATATTTTTTTTTGAATCTTTTTTTTATTAAAAAATTATTTTTTCTCAAGATTCTCCCCACACTTTTGTTTCTTTCAACGATTTACTTGCTCAAAGTGATTTTCTTATAATTACAGCTACACCTTCAACAGAAAATACACGCATTTTTAATAAAAATACTTTTAAATTAATGAAAAAAGATTCAATTTTAATTAATATTAGCAGGTTATTTGAACTAAAATTTTTTATTTTTTAGTTAAAAATTCAATTTTTTAAGAGGTATTTTGGTTAATCACAATGATTTGGCTGATGCATTAACTCTTGGTTTAATAGGAGGAGCAGGATTGGATGTGACTGATCCAGAACCTTTTCCTTTGGAACACCCTCTACATAGTATGAATAATTGTGGTAGGGGTTTTAAATTTAATTTTAGAAAACCAGAATGTGTTTTGTGTGATTTTTTAATGTTCTGAAGTGTTTCCGGAATGTGTTTTTATTGTAAAAAGTATTTTAAAAATCAGAATTAAAGAAAATTTTATTCTGATTTAAAATAAAACGAGTGGGAGCTATAATTTGGGGAATTTCAAATCACGGAACAGACAGGTCACAGAACAGGCAGGTCACGGAATGACCAAAGACGGAACAGATAGGTCACGGAATTACCAAATCACTTATTGACCAAAACACAGAATATTTTAAAATTGGAATATTTTTAGAAATCAGAATTTTCAGAATTTTTTTAAGTTCTGCTTTTTTAAATATTCTAATTAAAAAAGACATTTTTTAAAAATATTCAGATTTTTCAAGAAATTCAGATTTTTAAAATGTTCCGTGAGTTGTCCTTTCTGCGAGTTGTCGTTCCGTGAGTTAGCCCAACACGGTATAAAACACAATTTATATTGTCAGAATTATTTCGATTTTCCGGAATATTAAAAATCAGAATTATTTTGCGAGAATTTATCTACCGTTTATATTAAAAAATCAGAATTTCCCTTCTAGTCATTCTGCCTCATATTGGCTCTGCTACATATGCAACAAGAAATTTAATGGCAGCTACAACAGAACAAAATATTATAAATTATTTTAAGGGTATTCCAATGGTTTCGGAATTGTTGTTTTAATTTAAGTGGATTTTTTAATTATAGAATTTTAAAAATATTTATTTTAGGGGATTTTTAAATTTTGTGTGGCCTTTATTTATTTTTTAAAAATTATAAAAATTCTAAAAAAATTAAAAAAAATTTTTTTGTGTTCTATTTTGTCGCTTGACATTTTTAAATATTTTTTAATTTTTCAAAAAATTTTTCTTAAAAATTTTTAAAATTTTTTTAGATTAAATATTTAAAATTCAAAAAGAATGGACGAAGCTTTAAAAAATATTATTAAAACTGGTGAGATGACTCAAGACGTAGCCCAATATTTATTTTTGCATGGAGGGATTTTGGTTTATTTTATTAGTTTAAATATTAATATTTTAAAGATTTTAAAAGACTTTCCCGAAGGAAGTGAATTTGGAATTGATTGTCGTTCGTGGACTGTTGGACGTAAATTTCTTGGAATTAAAGTTTGTTTGAAGTTTTAAATATTTTTATTGAATCTTTCATTTCAATTTAAAAACATTGCCAGTCTTGGTTCACAACCTTTTTAATTTTTAATCAAAGTCATCCCAATATTTAGTTTGTCACAGCTCTGAGTGATTTGGGGAAATCCCCTTAATTTTATGATGGTCCAGGCCGTAACCCCCGAAAATTTCTCCTGATAATTTTTTTTTTCATTCAAAAACTGGGATATAGGTATGTGGGGTTTTAATTCTTGCTTCTTTTAAATTTTTTATTTTTTTTTCAAATTTTTATTCTGACATTAAGGGGTTATAAATTACTAAAGGAATTTGTAATAATAGTCCAAATGCAGAAAAAAATTGAGAAATTAATTATCTTGAAAATTAAATTTTTTTCAATTTCTAGATGATTCCTCCAGGCATTCATTTTGTTTATATGAGGTTTTCTTTAATTTATTAATTCAAAAAATTTTTTTTAAACAATTAGTGTACCAGGAGCCCCAAAAATTGCATTTTTCCACAATTTTGTTCTAAAAGAAATTGTTTTGAGGAAATGGGACAAGAAAAATGAAGATTTGTTTAATTGTGTTTCTGATGATGTTGAGGTTTTTTAATGTTTTTTATTCCTTAAAAAATTCTTTTTAAGTTGGAAAGGGTTAGAAGTAATTTAATGAATCTTGATTCACATTTGGGTGCTTATCCTTTTACAGGTTAGTTTTGCTTCATTTTTTTAATTTTTTTGAAACTTTTTTGCTTCAACTTTTACATTTTTAGTTGCTTCTATTTTTGGGGGTTTTTTGTAAAAAAATTTTTTTAGGAAAAAAATTCAAAGATGAAGCAAAAATCCCCAAAATAGAGGCAAGTAAAAATTTAGAAGTTGAAGCAAAGAAGATACACCATAACATGATTTATTTACTTTTGATCATGTTTTTGCTTCGTTTTTAAGTTTTTAAAGCCTTTTTGCTTCAACTTTTTAAAAAATTTTTTTTGAACCGAAAATTTCAACTTGATTTATTAACCTTTTATTTTAGTAACGACTGGGGCTTTTCCTAGTTTTAGTTTTTTTCAAAATTTTGTTTCACACTTGTAAATTTGAAGCAAAAAGGTGAAACATTTTTTGCTTCAGTTATTTCTATTTTTCTTAAAAATTTTTTTTTAGACTACCAACTTTGGGTCTCTTTTTCATCCAATATTACCTCTAAAACACTCAAACGTTTATCACCAACAAATAAACTTGGAAGGATTTCATCACAAGTAGAAATGACTACTTTAGAAGCAGAAACCGAAAAGCAACTGGTAATTTAATTATTTATTTTTTAATTAAAGCCATTTATAAATAAAACTATTAACGTACGTCATGGCCTAATGGTTAGCGTGTTTGCCTTTCCCCTTAAGGGGGTGAGGTTCGATTCCTCTTGCGGCCCAATATTTTTTCTTTGATTCTTTAATTATTTTTTTGAATTAAAAACTTGTCCAAAATAATTTTTAAAAATTCCTAATAATTTTTAGAATGATCCTCTTGGACTTTCTATAGTCGATAAGGAACATAGAGGCCGAATTCGATTTACTGATGAAAGTGGCCTTCCTGTTATGAATGCTAAAGACGATGATTCTAAAATTGGTTTTACAGAAATTCCAAAAATAACGGTTAATTTTAAATTTCTCAAAAAAAATTTTATTCAGCTTGCTGATACTTGTTTAAAAAAATCGGGAATAGATGCTTCTGATAGACTTGAGAAATTTATTGAGACAGTTGGGGATTCAAAAGAGGTGTTGGCAGAGCTACAATTTGCCTTTGTTATTTTCATTATTGGAGAGGTCTGTTGATTTTTTAAAAATTTTTTTTTGAGTCCAGTTCCGATTTTTGGACGTCCTCCTACCAACTTTTCGATTTGACAAAATGTCGACTTTCAAAATGTCACATTTCAAAACGCCCATTTTCCAAAATTCCACCCAGTCAAAACGCCAAATGGCCAATATTTTATAAAAACATCAATTAAGGTCTACGAAGGCTTTGATCAATGGAAACGGATTATTCATTTACTTTGTAGCTGCAAATCAGCAATAGAAAAATCCCCTTCATTCTTCAATGATTTGTTGATGGTACTCCATTATCAAATGAAAATGGTGCCCGATAATTTCTTTGCCGAAACGTTTGGAAATAATTTTTTGGTTTCTACTCTCTCGCTTCTTTTTGCTAATATTGAAGGTTTTTTTTTAAATTTTTCAAAAAAGTCCGCAAATTTTGTCCGCAAGTTTGAATAAGATTTGCGGACAAAACTTGCGGACTTTTTGGGGGGAATTTTTTTCATGGAAAACTTTTTTTACAGATTGTAACGCACCTATTCCAAAGTTGAAGGCAAAGTCTTCTAAATTCAAAGATTTGCTTGAGAGGCGTTTTAACAAGTCATTCACCTTACCCGATGAATAATTTGTATTTCTTAAAGAAGATATTTATTTTTCATTTTTAAAAATTTTTTTTTATTTTCGAGATTAAATTTTAAAAATTAAATATTGCCTCAGGGCATAAAATTTTTAAATTGTTTATAGCCCAAAAATTAATTTCCTCAGGGCATAATTTTTTGAATTCTGTCTTAATTGCCTCGGGGGAAAATTAAATTGCCTCAGGGCATAAAATTTTAAATTTGATATTTTAAATGCCTGGGGGCTCGAAAAATTGAAAAGATTTTTTTAAACTATTTTATTTAATAACTTATTTTTAAAAACAAAAAAATGTTTAATTTTCAATATTCATTTATTATCTCGTTGTTGTTCCGAAGACGCCGAACGGGAACGCATAGCGCTACTCAGCTTCATCGAACATGTCGGGCAGTACCACCGGCCCTTTGGCGGCTAAAACCGTTTTGAAATTTAATTTCTTCAAATCCTTTCTCGACCTGTGTTATTCCGACGCATTCATAGTGAAACCATTCATATGGGCACTAAAAATTGAAAAAATTTTTGTGTAGTTTTTGTGTTAAGTTAATAAAAAACAGACGTTTTTACTGTCACATGCCACCATATTGCCTGCAGAACCCTGAAAAATTTGAGGAAAAAATTAATTTTGAAAGGGATATAAAGAGGTCCGAGTTGGGCTCTAGCCCCCCTGGATACGCCCTTGGTGTACCCCTTTATAGCCCTCTAGAATATGCGTAACTTAAAGTTCTGCTTAGGTTATGGATGAATTCCTTATCATTTTTTCGATTCTAACAATCCTTGGGGCACTTATTTTTATTCATGTTATATAGTCAACTTGGCAATTTCGGAGAATTGGGGTCCATGCAAAAAAAAAGTTTAAAAATAAGAGAAAGGGGTTTTCTAGTGTAAAAAAATATGCTGATTACGAATCTGAACTCAGATTTTGAAAAAGTCGAATCCCGAACCCGAAATTCGAACATTTGACATTTTAGGGAAAATTTCGAATAATAAACATCGAATAACTTAGGCTCATGTTGTTTGTTTTTTGTGGTATAACTTCGTCGGATCTTGTTCAATCACGATGATTTTGGTGTCATTCGACTCAGCTTGAAGAGCTCTTTCGAATAAGCTATTATTTGCATATTCGAATTTTTCACCCCAAAATCAGCTTGGTCCCCCCTATGGTTTTTCGATACTCGAGGGCCTATATTCGGGTTCGGGATTCGACTTTTCAAAATCTGAGTTCAGATTCGTAATCAGCATATTTTTTACACTAGAAAACCCCTTTTTCTTATTTTTAAACTTTTTTTTCGCAGGGACCCCAATTCTCCGGGATTGCCGTCAACTTTGCCTTTCCCGAGGGGAGGGGGATGAGTTTGACCCCGATTGTCTGTCATATTTTTTCGTTGGTCCTTTATCTATTTTTTGAATTAAGACCATATCTAAAATAAAAATAAAATATTCTACATATATAATTTTTAGAACGATCTTCAGAAAACCAAAATTATGGAACTCTATTGGAGAAGAAAACTGGACAAGAACCATATTTGCCTTATTAAGAAATTTTCGTCTAAAAAATCTACACACAAACACACCTGTTTGCAATAGCACCAAGCCCTATCATCCGTTTCCTCTTCTCCTTCTTCATCAGCCTCATCAAAAGATTCGTCTCCTTCATCTTCATCTGCCACTTCTCCACCACCACCTTCCTCTTCAACGTTGTCATCTTTTCCACCTCCTCCCCTTCTTTGACGTCTTCGAATTTTTTCTTGTTGTTGACGCTTTTGTGGAAGAAAAAAGGAAATTAAAAACAAATCTTTAAAAAAACAAACAATTAAAGCAGGTCCATGTTCTGGTGGTTTAGGCATTGATTCATTCAACATTTGTACTACTCTTTTGGTTAATCTAGTATTTAAATAAATCAGAAATTTAATTTTTAATTAAAGAAAATGGGAGGAACCAGAAATTAAAAAAAAAAGAAAAATATCAGAATTTCACACAAAGACTTGAAAATCAGAATTTCCGAAAAATCAGAATTTTCAAAAAAAACAGAATCTCTCAAAAATCAGAATTTCTGAAAAATCAGAATATCAGAAATGCAAAAACCAGAACTTTCAGAAACTTGAGAAAAAGCAGAACTAAAAAATCAGAATTTTTGTTAAAAATCAGAACATTAATTAAAATAAGAATTTTCAAAAAAATCAGAATTTCTGAAAAATCAGAATATCAGAAATGCAAAAACCAGAACTTTCAGAAACTTGAGAAAAAGCAGAACTAAAAAATCAGAATTTTTGTTAAAAATCAGAACATTAATTAAAATAAGAATTTTCAAAAAAATCAGAATTTCTGAAAAATCAGAATATCAGAAACGCAAAAACCAGAATTTCCAGAATTCGAGAAAATCAGAATTTTAGTTCAAAAAATCAGAACATTAATTAAAATCAGAATCCCTCAAAAATCAGAATATCAGAAATGCAAAAATCAGAATTTTAAGAATCAGAATTTAGAAGATAAGAAATCATTTAAAAAAAACCCTACTTTCTTTGCCTTCCATGACGGCTTGGTTGAGTTCCAGCAAACGAAGGCATTCTTAACAAGCCTACAGATTGTTGTCTAGTTTGATGAGATGTTGATGAAGTAGTTGACGTTGTTGGTTGGTCTGGTTGGGAACTTGAAATATAAAAAAATTTTTTAATCAGGCTTTTGGAGAAAATCAGAATTCTGAAAATTAAAAATCAGAATTTAAAAATCAGAATTTCTGAAAAATCAGAAAATTAAAAATCAGAATTTCTGAAAAAATTTTGAAAATTAGAATTTTTTAAGAATCAGAATTTCTGAAAAAAAAATTCAGAATTACCTAGTTGATTGTTTAAATGCAGCATTCCAACGTTCCATAGAGGCTAGCCGAGATGGAGGAAATTGAAATTTAGATAATGCATGGGGTAATATTGTTGTAGATGTTGATGGGGAAGTTGAACGGGGGGATATTGAAGAGATTGAACTACGAGGAGAACATTCGCCTTTTTTAAATAAAAAAAATCAGAATTTTTTTAAAAATCAGAATTTTTAGAAAATTTACGAGAACGTTTAGAAGCAGCAATATTTGTTGTAGTTATTGTTGTTGTCGCTGCTTCAGTAGTAGAAATTTGACGCAAATTTGGGACTGATGTTTTGTGTTTCTTAAAAAAAGGATTAAAAACATTTTAACAATTGGATAAACAGAAGAGAAGTCCCCTTTTTTAGGAGATTGGAAAATTGTTTTAATATGGGTAATCGGAAGTATTAATTATTTGTTTGTTATTATGAAGCTTTTTTTTTATTATTTGTTATTATGAAGCCCCACAACAAGGCTTCCCCTTCCCTGTTCATTAGGGCCAGCCAAACATTAATTTTAAAATTAGTAGTAGGGTTGTCGGTTTCTTGGAAAATCTTTGAATATCCGCAATTGAACCGAACAATCTGGGTTCTTCGGTTCGATACCGAATCGCCATAATTAGGAGTAATTCTGCGAGCATATTATTTTTTATAACATGTCCCTTTAGAACATCAAATTAAACGACAAAGGTCTAACAAAAACAAATTCATTTACGCAAATTCTTTAGCTACCCATTGTCTTTATAATAAGGACCGATTCATAAAAGGATTCCAAAAAATAAATAAAATTTCCCCAAAAAAACCTTAACAGGAGGGGAGGATGTAGACACTTCATTATCAAAAATATCATCATCCTGTAGACGTCCAAGTATTCCAGCTGTATTTATTGTTGTTGTAGTTGTAGAAGGACGACTATCCACAGATTGGGAAGGACGACGCTTCAAGAATAAAATTTTTAAAATTTTTTTTTATTTTCAAATTTTTTTTACAAAATTTGCAGGTATTTTAAAATCTTCATAAGCAGTAGTTGTTGTTGTCTGTTGCTTTATTCTTTGAATATTTACATTTTTGGGTGTAACATCTATTATATCATTGCTAAAAAATATTTTTTCAAAAAATAAAAATAATTTGGGTAATTTTTAGTTCTTATTTTTCAAAAGACTCATAATGGTCAGACTTTTTAGTTAGCAATTTCACTCATTTTCCTATGGCAAACAGTCATTAACTTAACGGAAAAATAGAGAAATCGAGTAAAATAAAAAAAATTTTTAGTTTTTATATTTTTCTGAAAAGCTCATAATGGTCAGAACAGTCAGAATTTCTTCCTCTTCACAATTTCACTCTATTACCCTATAAATTTAGTCACTTAACAAAAGAAGCGGGAAATTTACTGAAATTAAGAAAGGAGAGGAAGTTTGACCATTATAAGTCTTTTGAGTAAGATTTTCTAAAAAACTTTAGTTTTATTTTTTTCGAAAAGGCTCATAATGGTCAGAATCTCGTCCTTCTCGCAATTTCACTTTATTACCCTATAAAATTCAGTTACTTAACAAAGGAATGGAGAGACTTAAGAAGGCAATGGGGGAAATATACTGAAATTAAGGAAGGAGAGAAAATTTGACCATTATGCGTCTTTTAAGGAAAATTTTTAAAAATCTTCATAAAAGTTCCAAACCCATTTAGATGTGTATTAGGGCTATTAGTAGATTGTTGTTGCCCTTCAATTTGTAAATTATGAACAGTATCACAAGACAAAGAAGAATCTTCATCAAAAAATATTAAATTTGAAGATGTTGTTGTCGTTGAATTTATTATATTTGAAGCTGTTGGTGGTTGTTGTGGGTTTGTAATTGATTGAATAAATGCTTGAAAAATTTAATTGAAAAATTAAAAATTAATTTCAAAAATCATCATTTACCAAGGGGGGAAGAGGGCTTTTTGGGGAAGAGAGCTTCTTGGGCTATAGCCCCCCCCCCCCTGAAATGGGGGAGAGTGAAAAAATTTTAGGAGGAAAATCGAACTCCTGGCTACGCCCTTGTCGTTTACTGTCATCGTGAATTTGATATTTTTGGCAGCATTTAAAAGGAACTCGAAAGTTCTCTATCCTAATGGTATCAAAAATACCTATAATCCAAGACACGGTGACAGTAAACGATGATCTTTAAAAAATTGGATTATTGGAGATCCCAACCTCAACCAAGGAACATTCAAAAAGTTTACAAAAAAATTATTTTTCATTTAGAATAAATTTTTTCTTAGTTTTAAGAGTAATCTCCGCAAAAATATGTCCGCATTTTTCGTCCAATATTTTTTAGGAAAAAATTTAAAAGCTAAAATATTAAAAAAACCCCCCAATTTTATGACCTTATAAATCATAAAAATACCCCAAAATTTTTCAAAAAATAAAAACCTTTTTCAATTAACTCAACTTCTCCAGGATTTTCAATTTCCAATTCTGTTTTAAAATCAGTCAAGTCTTTACAAACTTTTTCGTTATATTTTTCAAGCACAGACTGTAAATATTCTGTTATATGTACTTTTGAATCTGCAATTAGTTGAGCCTCATTATAACGCTGAAAATTGGAAAAAATAGAAAAATTAATATTTGCGGACATTTTAAAAATTTTGCGGATAAAATTAAATGTTAAGAAAAAATTTATTTACTAGAGACATTTAAGGAATATCTTTAAAAATAAGAGAAAATAGGCAGAAACCACCAAAAATAAAATTATCAAGCCCGAAAAAAATTTTCGTTTTAAAAAATCCGCAACTTCAAAAAATTGTCCGCAAAATTAATTTTAAACAAAATTTAAAAACAAAGAAAAGAACCTGTTCCAATTCTTTATTCTTCTTTTCAGATTCAGTTGCAGTTAAAGTAGGATACGCTTCAATTAGTTGTTCTGAGTCAACACCCAATTTTTCCATTTTTGCTGAAATTTAAAGGAAGTAAAACAAGTTTTCTATCAAAATTTCAACCAAAAAAGTTGCTCGAAAATCTCTTAAACAACTTGATTTTATATTTAAAATACGACTAGGCATCAAACACGCGACTTGGAATAAACAACCCAAAAAAATTTTTTTATAAAATAAACACAAACACAAAATGGCTTCGAACCAATGACTTTACCTAAAAAAATAAATAACCCGACCATCCTATTAAGCCAAAATTTAACTCAAATAAACACTCTAATCGAAATTTTATCAACCATATCGAAGGGATTTTAAATAAATTTTTTTCTTAGTTTTAATTTTTTCTGAAAATTTACCCGACAAAAAATTATTCAAAAAATTTCTTAAAAATTAAAACAAAAACCTTGATATTGACAATCAAGTTCTCTCAATTCTGCACATTTCTTTTTCATTTCAGCTGGAAGAAAGCCCAATACTAAAATTAAAAAAACTTTAAAATAAAATTAAAAATAAATACATTCAACCAAATCTTCCAAATAATGCATTAATATGCTGAAAACTTGATAAAAATGCTTCCAAAAAAATTAAAAATTAATCTTAAATAAATTTAAAAAATAAAAAAATTAAAGGACAAATTAACCAAATAAAATAAAAAAAAATTTTTTTACTCAAAAAAATTTATTTTTTATTTTTTACATACAAAAATACTAAACAACACACCTCAATAAATTTTCCCTATAACAAGGATGGGTCGGAGTCATCCGAAACCCGGCCTTTTTTCCCGAACGAAAACCCGGTCCAAAGAAAATTGTTAACAATAGAGATCGGCACCAACCCCTCCCCGTCCATGATCGGCACAGGACCCCGCACAGGATTTTACAGGATCCTGTCCGAAATCCTGCCTTTTTTAAGTTTTCAGGATTTTCAGAATTAATCTTGCAGGATTTCAGGATTAATCCTGCAGGATCCTGTCCTGTTCGAAATTTTAAAACCCAATCCTGATAGGATTCTGCAAATGCCAACCCGAAACCCGATCCAAAGAAAATTTTCTCACATCAGACCGATCCGATACCCGGCATTTTTCTCAGTCAGCCCGACCCATCCCTGCCCTATTTAATCCACAAAAAAATATTTTTTTTAAATCAACTTTCTAATTTCTATTCAACAACCCTCTCTCCTTTTTTCAACGGCTACTTTCATTAAAAGGATGGCGAGCATTATCTTCCTCAGCATTATTTTTACCTTCTTCAGCAGGTTCAAAAGAATAATTCAAAATTGGATAATCTCGAGGATCTTGGTGAGGAAATGCACGTAAAAAGTCGTAGGGATATTGCTTTGGAAACTGAGAAAGAAAAAAAATTTTTTTGATGGAATTTACTTAAAAAAGACTGACTCTCCCCGTAAAATAGAAAATAATTAATAAGAAGAGCCCGGACAGATATTCGATATTCCTTAAATATTTTTATATCGAATATAGACCAACCCCTACCCGTCCAGGCTCTATTAATAATAAGAAAAATTTTTATTTTTAAAAAACGCTAAGAAAAATTGAAAAAGAAATGTAGAAGAAAGGAGTATGTGTAAAAACAAAAAAAACCTGAGATCTGAAAATATGGATTAACAATAAAGGTTTTCACAATAAACTATTTAGATAGACGTGTAAAATCGTCTAACAAGGGAACCGCTCAACTGCTCCAAAAGTCGAAAACTTTGGACCCCTATAACTTTTCGAAATGGGGGGGGGGGTCAGGGCCAAAAAAAAACCTATTATATTATGTTTTCTACCCAGCTCTACACGATGGTACAAAAAGAAGTCGCCCCTTGTAAGTAAACAATTTTTACCTTATAAGAGGAAAATATTTGAAAAAATTGTAAAAAAAAATTTGGAGGCTTACAGAAACCCCATTAGAACCCCAGAGAAATCCCATTAAAGCCCACCACCATCACCTCCACAATTAATTTAAAAAAACAAACCTTCGCATTATACCAACGGACAACACAAAAATCCCGCACTTTACGCAAAGTTTCACCATTATAAAGCACTACTATATAAAAAACAAAGATAGGCACTAGAAGCTGTGCCAAAAGAGAAATTGTACGCATACTGAAAGAAAAAAATTTTTTTAATTAAAAATTTTTAAAATTTTTCTTTGATTTTTAAAATGGCCCGAATTTGATTTAAACAAAAGAAGAGTTTATGTTACAAAAGAGTATCCCTAATTGTAAGATTTTGAATAGGGAAAGAAGGAAAATTTTTAAAAAGAAACATAAAAAATGGCAAAATTTTTAAATGCCTTACGAGATGTCACGGGGTATTCAAAGTCTGATAACTCAAACCCAGACACTTTTTTGATCCGAAATTGGCTCCAAGAGAATTTTCACCAACTCGAGCCGAATCCTACCAGAATTTTTCTCTCTAACCATGACATCCCTGAGATCTTAAAAATTCAAAAAAAATTTTCCCCAACGCTAAATAGGATTAGAAAAACACAACTACATCCATCCAAATATTATACATGTCAAAAAGCCAAAATAAACCCCCAAAAGAAAATTATCTTAAAAATTCAAAACCAAAGTAAACCCCTAAAATATCGCTTCCCCATCCAATTATAACATCAAAAAATCCTTTTAAATAATCAAAAAGAAACAAACAGTAAATAATCGTCGTCCTTCAAGCCAGTAAAAGTACACCGTTCAACACGAAAACGCATTGCTTGTCTCATTACAGGTTCATTCCAATTACGACGTTGATGAAAATCGCTATAATAGTCGTATGGATCTGTGGAAAAATATTTACAAATAAAAATGAAAATAAAAAAAACATTTTTTGACAAATTGAAATAAAATTTTTAATTATTCAAGCCTAACCTAAAATCTAATGTAAATTCCTTAACTCTATCCCAAACGAGAAAGCAGTTCAAGTCTTTTTTCTTATGAAGGAACCTTCAAACTGTAAGTCAAATTTTTGTACTATTTTGGTACCAATCGATAGAGTACCATTAATTTACTATAGAAAATTTTTGCCTTTTTTGGCTAGGAATATGAAACTAAAAAATTATAGGGCTTCAAAGCTTGCGACCCCCTAAATTTATGCCAGCGGTGCTTAAAATGGAAGAAATCTAGATTCTGGAGCTCCAAAATTCTCAAAATTTGGTTAAAAAGTTGTGCTCAAAACGCTGAAGTAAACACCAAAATGTTGGCGCACACTCCATTTTAGCCCCCGAAATCGACCTCTGGCTACGTCATTGTTAACAGAACAAAAATTATAGAGATTAATAAAAACTACATCCTCCCCAAGGTCTTTGACTTTTAAATTACACCTCATATCAATGGCGTAGCCAAGGGGTCGATTTCGGGGGTCTAACACTGGGTGTGCGCCAAATTTTTGGCGTTTACCTTGGAGTTCCGCACGCAAATTTTTTGAATCTAGACGGTCATAGGCGAAAAAATTTCACTTTTTCAACCATTCTTCTCCTAATTTTTCCCCATTTCGGGGGGGGGGGGGCTTCAGCCTCCTGGCTACGTCCCTGCCTTATACTATCAAAAATAATTATATATATATACCTCTATGTTCAGCAGTAACAATTCCAGGATTTGGATAATCTCCAACATGATTTTTTACATCGTCAGGAGGATAGGGACTAAAAAATTCCAGAAATTTTAATTTAAAAATAAAGAAAAAAACGTGTAATCTTCAGGTCTAAGTCCATATCTAATAGCAGCAGCACGACGTTCTTCGTCTGTTTTTGGATAATTACCAGGCATGTGATCTCTAAAAAAATTTTAAAAATAAAAAAAATTTTTCAAAAACCTAGGATACCATCCTGGATGAGCTATAGCACCACGACCTTAAAAATAAAATTTGTAAAAAAATAATAGAAAGTCAAAGAAAATCTTCTCTTCCCTCCCAGAAAGTTACCCATAAGAGAATCCGAAAATGAACTATAATCTTCATAAAAATCCGGACCCGCAATACTGGTTAGGATAGAGCCGAACCGAGATTTTTTCGAGATCCCTCCTAAGTCCCTGTCATTCCGGTCTAAAGTTAGGATTCTTCGGACCAACATCACTAAATCTTAAACGGAATTAGAGGTCGGTGCGGAACGAAATCCTGCGCTGGATTTACCCTGAGACCTCGTCCCGCAGATTTTTGGAAAAAATCCCGCACGTAGGAACCCGTCAATACGATCTTACCATTCTCTACTAAAAATGCCTAATTAAAAAAAAACAAACCTCTAACCACAGTCGTATGCAAAGAACGCTTGAACAGCAAAGGAAGGGTAACCATCAAAAAAATTGGAAATTAACAAAAAAATATTAAAAAAATCAACAAAATTAAAAATAATAAATGAAATTAAACAAAAATAAAACAAAAAAAAATTCTCAAAAATGTTTACTATATTTAAAATTCAAAAAAGTATCTGACAAGGATATAACATAACTATAATTTCTGCGGTCAATATTTGCGGACAAAAAATTTTTTTGTAAAAAAAGCTTCCTAAAGATCCAAAAGGTTGGAGGTAAGGAACAAATTGTTTGCCTTTAACAGTTGTCCGCAAAATTAATCCGCAAAAACTATCCAAAATAAAAACAAAAAAGAGTACAAAACAGGGATGTCACAGGTTGAGAAAAAAGTCGAGTCTGAGTTTTGGAAACACTAAGTTAACGGGTCGCTTTCGAGTCGAAAAAACGTCAAGGCTTCGGGTAATCCGTGACATTCCTTGTACAAAACAAAAAAAAAACCTTTAAATTCTCCTTCAATTTTTCTTAATTAGCGACGCGAAAAATCCACTCTTCTTTTTCTTTTCAGTTGTCGTTTCAAAATATTTCTTCTTTATTTCATCAGCATAAAAACAATCAAAAAGTAATTTGGCGTCAACTGGTGGAGGAGGCCAAATTTTGTCGATTGGAGGATTTTTGAGGTTTTTAGCCAAAATTTTGTCGGTATTGGCAATCCTACAAAATTAAAAAAAAAGAAGAAAAATAAAAAACGAAGCAAGTATAAGGGATCATGTCGACACTTAATAAATTCCCAAAAAAATTTATAGAAAATTTACAAATTTTGGGAACCGGTCCCAGCCAGGGCTGGTCGCAATTAAAAAATTTTTTGCAGCCGCAGCTTTAATTTTAAAATCCGCAAACGCAATCTTCAAGTCTAAAAACTCGCAATCCGCAATTGCGTAAGCCCTTATTCCAGCTCAAAAAAGTAGAGAATTCCACATTTTTAGAAGTCAAAGAGGAAGGATCGCTAGTTATGTTCCTAGATTCGAGCTTTTTTCTCAAAGAAAAAGAAAAATAAATAAACTAATGGAAAGATTCGAGGACCATACAGATTTTTAAAATTCTGTAGGAGATAATAGAAAATCTAATTTCTGACTTGAACAACCAAAATTTACACCTTAGAAAATTTTGAGACGACGGCACAAAATAATTATCAGAGTAAAAAATTCATTTGTCTACCCTATACCAATCCAATACACATTTTAAATGCCATCACCCCAAAAATAAATTAAAAAAAACCTTTTTTCAATTTCAATATCAGTTCTGTAGGAAACATAAGGTCTTAATGGAAAACCAGTCAAGTCCGGAACAATTAATTCTGGAATCATTTCAGGTAGATGAACAAATTTGCCAGTATTTGGGTCATCATAGCCTGTTGGTTGAACACCAGTATATCCTTTAAAAAAAATTTTTAATGAGAAAGGAAATTTTAGAGAGAAGGGGCGGGGCTTATTGGGGGGGGGGGGAACTACACAAGTGCTCCCAAAAAAAAAGTGTTACAGGGAGCGTGCGTGTGAAAATATTTTGCGTGCCACCACGTTTCCTGGTTTGTAACAGTTAAAGGATTAGACCAAAAAGAGCGCAGAAAAAATTTTTTTTTAAATATTTCCCCTTTATGTGATTTCTGACGTGAGACAAAAAGTCAATTACTGGCTACTTTTTTGGAAATCAGAAATTAGAAAAACCTTGGCCTTGCTTAAAGACCTTGACTAAATTCTGATCTCAAGTCAGGGAAAAATATAGGGACACCGAAAAATGCTTTGCTTTCGACTCCTGTTCTAGGAAAATGTAAGGTCCGGATCAATATATGTACAGGCCAAACTCAACTTCTCTTATTAACACCCCCCCCCCCCCCCCCCGACTAATAAAAAAAAAGAAACAAACTTCTCAATTCCATTCTATTATTCTTCTGCCATTTAGGAGTCAATTCAGGAAATTCTCTATTCTGTCCAGGCCACTTCCACGATTCATAATGCAGTGGACCTATTTTTCGAAGTCCTTTAGCACCCTTCTTTGCAAATCCCCAAGGAGCTTTAAAGTGTGATGGAATTAATGTTCTAACAACCATTTTTTGATTAAACAAGTCTAAATTGGAAGAAAATAAAAATTAAAAAAGAGCCCACAAAGGGATCAAGTGAAGAAGATTAACCCAGAAAACCCCCAAAATCTTTCTATAAAAATACTGGGATTTCAGAACGAGATCCCGTGAAATCCTATGAAGATTCAGACTTTAAAGCAAGATAGAATTAATGTCCGTCTCTGAAAATCCAAGACAAAACCCGGAAATCCCAACAAGATCACTCTAATTAAAACAAGAAAATTAAAAAAAATCAAGTAAAGCTGTGAAATAGTGTGTAAAAACAAGAGAGTAGTTAGAGAAAAATAAATAAAACAAAATAAACATTACGCCAAACTTATTAATTTGCGTTTGCGGAAATTTACAAAATTAAAAATATATTGAAGTTCAACATTTAAGAAATTCTCTAATTCATTAACTACGGGTCGTTAATCTGAGCTTGAGGATTTATTAATCTTTAGTTTATAGGAGGTCAAAGCATTCTACAAAAATCAGGTTGACATTAGAGATCAGACTTTCGAAAAAACCGGGTCCGGAAAACGGGTTCTGAAGGTTGACCGTGAGGGACCCGAACCGGGAAACCGGGAATTCCCGTTCCCGGTTTCATCCCGATTGCTTCAAAAAAACGGGAAACGGGTCCCAATCTCTAAAAAAATATTTCAAAATGTAAACAAATTAAAAAATTTCAAAATGTCAAACGACAAAAGAACACAAAATATCAACTAGTCAAAAATTATCAATTTTTATGATGCTTTAACAAAAACATTTTTATAAAAATATACAAAAAATTTTAAATTTATTGTTCAGCACTAAATAAGGGTTGATTAAAAAAGGAGGAAGTAGTGGTAGAAGGAGGAGGAAGAGGTTGGGGTTGATTATTTTCTATAACTATATTTTGATTATTTTTAATCATAGTAATTTCTTCTTCATCTCCAAAATACATTATTATTGATTTTTGTTGATTATTGTCTTCCTTGTCTTGTTTTTTAATGGATAAATTAATTGTGGGGTCAGGGGAACCTTCAAATGATTTATTTATCAATTTTTTGAGACGTTGAATTTCATCGTTTGCTTTATCCAATTCTGTGGCCAATAATGATTGACTAAAAAAAGAATAATAATTGAAATTTCGTTAACTTTTTGGGAGAGGAAACTCTCCACCAGGGAAGGTTTTCAGAGGATGGATAATACGAAATTTCGTGTTTCGAAATTTTATTTTAATTCAAGAATTTCGTTTTATTTTCAAAATTTCGTTTTAGTCTCGAAATTTCGCTTTGTTTCCTAAATTTCGTTTTTTCTCGAAATTTCGTTTTGGTTTTCGAAAATTTCGCTTTATTCTCGAAATTTCGTTTTGTTTTCGAAATTTCGTTTTATTCTCGAAATTTCGTTTTGTTTACGAAACTTCGTTTAAATTTCGAAATTTCGTTTTGGTTTAAGAATTTCGTTTTATCTTCGAAATTTCGTTTTGTTTCGAAATTCCCTTGTATTTCCGAAACTTCGTTTTATTTTCGAAATTTCGAGTGGCAATTATTACTCCTAGTCTATATCATATATCGCTCACCGTTCTTTTAATTTTTTAATATCAGTTCGGCAAGTAACATTCTGTCTTAACAATTCTCCCTTTTCATTTTTTAATCTGACAACATCAACAACCAATTCTTCTAATCTTTTTTCTTCTGCTTCGTGTTGTTTATTATTTAATTTTAAATGTTTTACATTAAATATAGAAGAAGCCCTTTCTGTATTAAATGAATTATGTAAATCGCCAGAAGACATGCTTTCCTTAAATTAAAAAAATTTGGGGATGTTTGGGCGCAAGTGCCGCCTAGGCGCGGAGTAGGATAAAAGGCTGATAAGAGCCAAGAGATCCATGGAAGTCTAGAGAGATGTCTAAAATACTTCAGAATTTTTCAGAATTTCTGGAAAAAATTCTGAAAAAAATTTCAGAATTTTTGGTTTTGTACCCCAAAAGTTCTAGTCAAAAATCACCCGAGAAATGGGTGATTTTATTAGGTTTAACCAACATTTTCGACTACAACTTTTGAAATAATTGACACAAAATTCTGATATTCTTCATAAATTTAGCTAACACTCTCAAAAATATCCGAGCAAAATTTAATAATTTTAGGTTCATTTTTGGATATTAATTTTAAAAGGCGCGCCAAAAATGTTTCCGCGCCCAAACGACACCTTCAATTTATTCCCTTATAAAACAACTACCAACCATTCCAGTATCAGAATCTTGTTGTTCATTTCCACCCCCAATAGCACTCAAAACTTCTTCAACTTCCACTTCAACATCTTCATCATAATCTACATCATCATCACTACTTAAAAATTCATTCCCTTCAATTCTTCTTAAATCACTATTGTTTGGTGAAATGTTTTTAATAAATTGAGGAGGAGTTTGTTGTTGTTGAAGAGGAGGAGAATGTTGAGGATAAAGAATCAATTTGTTTGTTGTATTATTGGGAGAGAATGAGGTAGAGGAAGTTGTATTGTCGAAAACCATTGAAGTACAGCTAAAATGACGAAATTTCGAGTTAGTTCGAAATTTCGCATTAATTTCGCTTTAGTTTCGAAATTTCGCGTTGTTTCCGAAATTTCGAATTATTTCCGAAATTTTGTTCTATTTTCGAAATTTCGTTTTGTGATCTTTAAAAATCCAATTACCCTCTATTATTGGATGCCGCCTGTCGGTAACCATTTGGGATTGCACCAGCTCGCCAACGTGGAGGTGGTCCATTTCCTGTATCATACACTTGGCTAGAAGTAGTTGAAGAACCGGATGAAGGATGATTATCATCAGAAATAGCTAAAGAAGCAACACGACCTAAAATATTTCAAAATGTCAACTGGTCAGAAATATGTAAAATAGCACCCCATCCCCCGACGAATTTTTAGTCAAAAACAGGACCCCCGAAGGCTCTGCCCCGACGAACCATGATCCCCGACGCCCCCGTGCGGGCAAAACCCCGACCCGACCCCCGAAGGCACCCCAAGCCCTCGAGGGCTGAAGAGCCTCGAGGACTTGGTGTGCTCTACTTCAGAATGTCCCAACTCACTCTGTTCTCTAGCCAAAATTCTTTTACCAACACCACTCTGTCGAGGAGAATGGGGAGGAGGTCGTGTATTATTATTCAAACAACAAGAAGAATTTCCAGAAGAAGAAGAAGCTGAAGAGCAATAATAACCCGAACTACTATTGGTACTTTCACTACTAATACTTGGACATATTGTACTACTTGTAGTTTCTGAAAGGCGTTGATTATTGCCTAAAGGGGGGAGGGGGTTATTTTGTTGCTGTTGATTTTTTGTTGAAGAAGAGGAGGTAGTTTGTTGTTGTTGCTGTTTTTTGGTTGGTAAAAATGAAGAAGAATTGTGATGGGATGAGGATGAAGCAATGTCTTGGGAGACAGAACGAGAACTGAAAAAAAACTAATATTAAAATCCCTTAAAATTCCCTGAAAAAAAGAAATAAGAAGGGACTTCTGGACGCAGGATTCGTATGGCGCGAACTTTGTAAAATCGCCCCAAAATTTAATTTAAAATCGTAAAAATTTTTCAAAAATATCTTAAAATAGTTATCTATCTTATTTAAAAATTTCAGAATTTCTGGTTTAATATAACAGAAATTCTGATCGAAAAAGAACTATGGCTAAAAACAACAGCAATTGTCGAGTTTTCCTTGAAACTTTTGAAATATAAAATCGAAAATTCTGAAAATTGATTTGGTTTTTTGTAGGATTAAAGGTAAGGATGGGGAGTAAATAAGGAAAAAATTAAATCTCTCCAAGTTTTTCAAACTAGGTAGTAATCTTTTTAAAGCTCACGCCAAACACTCAACTCTGCGCCCAAACAACCCCAAAATTAGAATGGCTTTCTTAAAATAATTTTAACATTTTCCCCCATTAAAATAAACTAAAAATCATTGAGAATAAAATAAAATATTCCCTCAATTTCATAAAAATAAATCGTCTACCGAGTATTTGCGAATGCTTTTTTAACAGAACTAAAAAGGCCAATAGAAGTATTTTTATTTAAATTATTTGAGGTATTTAGTATTATAGGGGAATTATTTAATTGATGTTTAGAGGAATTTGGAGTTGCTGTCAGATTTAAAGAAGTATTATTTATTGTTGTTGTTTGTTGTTGTTGGTCTATAGACTCGAGAAAGGGTACTCCATAAAATTGAGCACGCTCTTTAAGTCCGTTATAAAGTCCATCGAGAAGGGATGAACGAGTTCTTTCCTAAAAAATTTTTTTAACCCTTTGGTTTTAAAAATATTTTTTGGCCAATTTTCCAGTAAGGGGAAATAGCCTTTTTGGCCCCATTTTGTGTTCATCGATTACGGAACAGTTCAGTCCCGACACTATAACTCATGAAGTAATAGTCACTTCTTCACGTTCTTGGTACCATTGGATAAGAAATTAAAAGGACTATGGTACATAAAAAAATCAGAATTTTCGACTTATTGATAAAAAAGTTATGATCTAAAAACTAATTTTTTCAAATTATATGATTTTTTGGCACTTTATCGATTATAACTTTTTTATCAATCAATCAAAAATTTTTATTTTTTGGTATCTTGTAGGGTGTTTAATTCTCTATCGAATGGTACCAAAAACACTAAAAATTATTCGTCCCTTCATAAGCTATAGGTGCCGGAACTGAACTGACAATGATTTCAGTCCCTATACAGTACCACTATAGTACCCTAACTTAAAAAAATTTTCTTAAAAAAACACCGCTAATTTTGCAAATTTTTCCGCCTTCAATCCAGCATTTTCCGCATTTATAAGTTTTGTTAAAATAAATGTTCGTAATTCTTCTTTATTCCCAGTAATAATAGTTGAAGGCATTGGTGGGCCAAAAGGAGGGACGTCATTGCGGGCGGATATACTAACACGATAATAAAGATTTTGAGGAGAATTGTTGTTATTATTGTTGTCATTATTATTATTTTCAATTGGTTGAATAACCAAATAAGAGTGTAGAAAATTTGACTTAAAAAATTAGAAAATTTTTTTCAAAATTTTATTGAAATTTCGGAACTAAAAAAGTCCAGGGGCCCATTCCACCAAACAACTTTTACTGTCATTGTTGACAGAGAAATGTCAACACAAATTAGCGCCAACGATGGTTAGAGATAATAAAAGATCCTCTCCTTCCCCAGCAAATCTTCACTTACTCTAATAACAATTTCGGTTCCGGTTTCGGATATCAGAAGATTTCTCAGGAACCACGCTAATCCACCTACACTCTAGTGATGCTCGGGTATCCCGATCCCGACTCCCGAGGTCATTTCCCGACCCGACTCCCGTTTCCCGGGTTTTTTCTTCTCCCGAGCATCACACTCCCCATTAATCATAAGCTCAAAATGGTAGAATGGAGTTGGTGAAACTCGGGGGTTTGCTGGAGTCAACGGTTCCTGGGGTTTGTGCCCAATAACATAGAGAGAGGTCTATTGCTTGCGGGTACTAGTTTTACAAAAATTTATAAATGCTCGACTCTTCTAAAAACTCGCCTGAATCATTTCCGGACAAAACGGCGTATTTTTCTCTTGAAAAACAATTGCAACAATATCATTACCAATATGTCGTTTACGTTGTAATTGTTGTGTATCCCCAGCTGTGTAAGGCAAAAGAGTGCTTACATGGAACATAATTTCTTTTTGTGAAAATTTTGTGTAAATACTCTTAAAAATTAATTAATTTTTCCCATTAAATCCTCTCAAATTTTCTACTTCATTCCCAGTTTGCCCATGTATTGTGTCCAGCCCTCCACGATATCCATCAAAATTGCGTAAAGGCACACGATCTCCCAACAGTGCTAGAAATTCATTAAATTCTTTACAAGCACAAGTATTTCCAAATAACTCTTCTTCTGTCGTTTGGCCAAATTTTTGGTAGATTATACCTTAAAAACAAGGCCAAGTTGTTTAGGAGACAGATTTTAATCCTCCCAAATATGGGAGGAATGCGCCGTTCCCGGAGGTAAGTGCAAGACCGGGCCGACGCGCGGCAGAGAGGAAGCAAGCTTCCAACTCTTACCCTTTTCCAAAAATTGGTTAATCTCTTTGATCCCGGTAGGGATCGTTACGGAGATTAAGCCGTAAAGAACAGATACTACACTTTGATCTTAGCCAAAAGGCCGAGAAGCGATACTTTTTTGGAGAAAAGTAAAATATAAATGAAAAATAAATTTAAAAAAGAAAAATAGGTTGGAAATGGGTATGAGAGAAATTGTATTAGATAGCACTGTTTTTGTAAAGAAAAGAAACTACAGAAAAAGAAAGACTAGAAGAGAGAGAAAGAAAGTAGCAGAAAATAGATATGGAAAGAACAAATGAGAACTATGCAGAGACGCATAAAAAAACACAAACGAACTTTCCGGAAACAAACACAATCTTTCTGGAAAAGTTGTCCGGAAGTGTTTGTGTTAGTACAATAACAATTGTAGGCAGACACAATGTTTCAGGAAATTTGCGGCTTTCTATAAAAGAAAAACAGACATAGAAAAACAGACAAAACAGTTTCCGGAAAAGTTGTCCGGAAGTGTTTACAAAATATTACAACAGTTTTTGTAGGCAGACACAGTTTCCGGAATATTTTAACGGGTGTTTTTATGCTTCTCTGCTTTCTTCTTATAGTCAGTTTTCCCATATGATCGCAACGAATATTCGCGAAATTTTTTCTCACTCATTATTTTTCTGAAAAAACCCACCAAATTTGTAAGTATTACTAATCACATGTTCATCAAATTGTAATATTAATTCACTTCCCCCAGGAAACGCAACAGGCCAAAACCTGTCAGTTCCAATATCCGCGTATAAATGTCTCGCTAGCTGACTGGCACTTGGACGGGAATTATTAAATGAAGTTGAGGGGATTAATTGGTGTTTAGTGCCTAAACGGGAACGCAAAATTAAACGATAATTTTGTTGTTGTTGTTGATTTGGAGTTGATTTTGGGGAGGAGGGAGTTTGTGGTGTTGAAGAAGTTTCAACTCTAACGCTGAGAATAAGTGGACCCAATAGAGGGTCTAAAGCATAAAAGTTGTGATGTTCACGACCGAGAAAGTGCCTAGAAAAACGAGAAATTAATTTGATAAAAATGGGCACTTAATTTAAGTGCACACCCCATTTAATCGCAGTCTAACAATAGGCTTATGTTACTGACAAAGGAGAGTCCCTGAGATGTCCGTGGAACTTCGGGATGAAATTTGGTAGACAGATAGATCATGCCCGACTTTAGTTATGCCCTACTTAAGTATATGCCCTAATTTAGTACTAAAGTAAGGTATATCTACCAAATTTCATCCCAAAGTCCCACGGACACCACAGGCACTCTCCTTTGTGAGTACTGAACTTAGCAACCGTTGACCCGCTCGAGACGCGTGCCACAAAACACGTAGCAAAGTTCTGAGTTCCTCACAAGCGTCCCATCGACTTCAATAGGGGTTACTTTGTCCATTTTAAGCTTGCGAATAGATGGGGTGTATACTTAAAGTGACGCATCTCTCTCTTCAACCTTCTATAAGAAAGAGCTCCTTCATCATCTGTTTCAAGTTTTGATTCAACATTTGCTACATTAGTGTAAATAAAGCTGTCACTATTTTCCACATCTTCAAGTTCAATAGCTCCATCCAACCAAAATCCACATTCTTCACCTTTTGTAACTACAACAATTTGGGGATATGGGCCTGACTTGGAGAGAATCTGAAAAATGAATGAAATGATTTCAAAATGTCAACTTTCAAAATGCCCAATTTTATAAAATGTCCAATTTCCAAAATGTTCATTGACAAAATGCCCAGGTACAAAATGTCCGTGGACAAAATGCCACAGACAAAACGTTCAAAGACAAAATGTCAACAGACAAAACGTCCATTCTCGAAACGTCCCAATTTCCAAAATACTTACAAAACTAGTCTTATCAGTCTACCTGTCTAACAAGGGCTCCCCCATTTTCTCTACTAGAAAGCCGTTGCAAATTATTATGAGATGAACAGACTGATGAGGTAGCTGTCAATTGAGCTTTTCCATTTTGAGCGCCATTGGGGGTCTATAAAAATGAAAAAATTTTCAGATTTAAAAATAATATTGGAAATAGTCATTTAATGCCAAAATTACACTCAAAAATATTTTCCCCCCAAATTTCTCTTAAAAAAATTTTTTTTCGTTTAATTAGGGAAAAAGTAGAAGCAGAAGCAATTCTCCCCCATAAATAATGGATAAATATTCCCCCCAAAAATACCCTTAATTTTTATTTTATTTATTTTTCACCCTTAAAACGTCTCTCATTATCAAATTATCTTCCTCCTTAACATTCCCATTAACCATTTTATTTTGTTGAAGCAAAGATAAATTTAATTCTTCACAACAACTATTTCTACTACTAAGCTTCTTTTTGTTGCTGCTACAATTTTTGTTATTTTCAATTTCTGAAGCAACTATTTTTAATGTTTCCGGAAGCTTGATTGCTTCATTTTGAAGATGAAAATTTGGAAAAGAAAAGCCTCTTCTTCTTCGTTCTTCCCTTCTTTTTAATTTTGCTGCTTTACTTGTTGTATTTTGTTGTTGCTTCCCGAAAAATGGAAGCAAATTCCAAAATGAGGTAGAGGAGGTTGTTGTTGTGGAAGAAATAAGAGTGGAAGCAGAAGCAGCAGAAGTAAGACAAGTTGAAGCATTTTTACAAGTTGAAGCATTAGTAGAACAAGTTGAAGCAGAATCCGCTACTTGATTATTATTTGCTGCAACGATCGGAGAAGGAACAATAAATGTTGAAGCAGCAGCAGGATTAAGGAAAGTTGAAGCAGAAGCTGTTTGGTTATAAGATGAAGCAGAAACTGAAGCAACTTGATTGGAACAAGTTGAAGCAGAAGTTGCGCTAGGAGAAGCAACAACTGAAGTTGAAGCAGAAGCAGTTGAAGTAGTTAAAGAAGTGGTCGACGTAGTTGAAGCAGCACAAGTTGATGACGACCATTTTGTCTTGTTACGTAAAACAGACATGTTAGCAGAAATAAAGTTTAACAACAAAGAATGAGGACGGTTCTTCTGTTGTGGTGCTTCATCTTTTAATGCTTCAATTCTATTATTCTTTTTATTAGCAATACAAAGATTATTTGAAGGTTCTTGTGAATTTGAACGAATTTTTGTATTTACAGAAACATTTTCCATTTGCTTCATATTTGAATTTGTTAATGTTTTGGTTGAAGGAAAAATAGTTGTTAATTGAGATTTAATAGTAGTAGAATTTCGTCTAGTTGAAGAACATAAGTTTGAAGCATAGGGAACTGAAGCAGTGCTTGGATAGTAAAAATCTGAAGCATTGTTGGAATCTGAAGCACAAGAATCCGAAGTTAAGGAAACTGAAGCATTGTTGGAATGAAAAGTTGAAGCAGAAACATTATTAGTAGTAGCTGAAGTTGAAGCAGACATACTAGTAGAAACTGAAGCAACAGTTGAACAAAAGTTTGAAGCATTATTACTACTACTAGTAGAACTTATTTGTTTATTAGCTGCTGGACGTCGTAGCTTCACAGCTTTAACTCTTTCTTCAAATAATAATGGATCCTCTTTATCTTCCTTCAAGTTTGAAGATAAGAGATTTTCAGATTTTGCTTCATTTAAAGGCTGTGCTTCGTTATCAACAGTTTTAGACAAAGTTGAAGCAACTTGATTTTGTTGTGGAAGAGAAGGAAGATTTTGTTGTGGAAGAGAAGAGGAAGAAGGAAGTGAAGGAAGAGGAGAAGACTTCACACTGGGAAGAATTGGGGGAGGTATTTGAACACGTTGTTGTTGACGATGGGATTGGCGTAGAAGCAAAAGCGAAAGAGGGCGACGACGTAAAGGAATTGAAGGAGGAGGAGGATGATGAAGAGGAGGAGAAGATGGAAGATTAGAAATTTTATTTAAATTTTCTTGAATTTCGCTATAATTTTTATTTGCTTCAGAAATATTAGTTGAAACAGACGTTGGTAGAAGCAAAAGTTTTGTGGTAGTTGTAGCAGCTTCAGATTTTTTATTATTATTTTGCTTCTTTTCAAAAGAATGTTGTGGAATATTTGGACAGTTTGAAGGTAGTTTAGAGCTGCCAGAACTGCTATTAGTTTTGCTTATTTTTTCTTGCAGCAAAGTTTGCTTCAGAATATGCTTCTGAATGTTGCTATCAGACATGTTATTATTTTTGCTTATTAAATTCTGAAGCTGCTTCTGATTTAATAAATTTAGTTGGGTTCTATCAGGCTTCTGAAGCAGTTGTTTCTGCTTTAGGGAAGTTTCCGTAATGTTGCTACTATTTTTGCTAAGCTGCTTCAAGTGTTGCGGAATGTTGCTACAAGTCTTGCTGCTACCAGTTTGCTTCACATTAAAAATATTAGAAGCAGAAGCAGGCTTATAACAACTGTTATTTGTAGCGGAAGCAACAACATTTGTCAATTTCAACACAACACTACTTTTTTCTGTTGCTTCAACTTTTTGATTTTTAATTGAAGCAACTACTTGTATTTTTGTTGTTTCACCTATATCTGTTGAATAAATCGTTGCTGGACGGGGGGAACGTTTTAACAAAGAAATTCGTTTTTGTTGTGGGGACCATTTATTAGAGGTTTCTTTAGTAGAATTATTAGTTGAAGCAATTTTAGGTATTGAAGAGGGAAATGTTTGTTGCTGCTGTGCTTCTGGAATACGTCGTAAACGAATAAATTCAACACTATTACTTATTGTGGACATTAAAAAATTTAAATATATTTTTGGGGTCTAAAAATTAAAAAAACTTTTCAGAATAATTAACAGTAGCAAAAAAATATCAAAATTACACAAAATAAAAAATTTTTAAAAAATATTTGCGGACGTCCGCAAAAAAATTGCGGACGTTCGCAAAAGTGAATTTTTGGAAAAAATTTTTTTTTTAATTTTATAAAATCTACAAGTCATTTTAGATTAAAGTTTTTACAATTCTAAAGGAAAATAAAAAAATAAAAAAAATTTATTTTGAGAGGATATTTATTGCGGAAATGAAGAGAAGAGAAAGAAAAAAGGTTGGTTGGTTGTAAAAGAGAAAAGGTGTTAATAATAGCTGGTTAATCCTAGAAAAAGAAAAAAATGGAAAAAAATGTGAGAAAAATTTGGGAACAATGACCAAAATAAAAATAGTATATTTTTAACTATTTTTGACTAAAAAATAATTTTTTTTTGTTAAAAATGATGACTCAAAAAATAAAAAATATTTTTTAGTGGTTGAGAAAATAAGGTGTAAAATAAGGTGTAAGAGAGGGAGAAGAGAGAGGAGAACGGAACAATTAAAAAATAATAACAAGGATGATGATATTTTTTGACACTAAATTTAGAAAAAACGCAGTTAAGAAATATTTTAGAAAATACCAAAAAAATACAAAAAAAATCCGCAAAATTAAAAAAATTATCAGCAAAAGATTTGCGGACGTTCGCAAAACTAAAAATTTTTTACGAAAAAAAATCATAAAAATTTCAAAATAAAAGCTAATACCCTATATTTGGTATCATTTTAAAGCCCAAATTCTCCTCTATTTTTTGATATATAAAGTGAAATTTTAGGTTGACTTAACAAAAAGTTATAGAACTTTAAAGAAGGTTAGTCAATTAAAGAAAAATTCATTAATCTAGTTTCCCGCACTTTTTTCCTTCAGAAAATACCTATGAAAGCAGGCGGATTTTTTTCTGAAGCAGGCGGATTTTTTATAAGAAAAGGATAAATTAAATTAAAAAATATTTTTTCCTATTTCCTAAAGGTATTTAAAGAATTAAAAAAAGCTCTCAGTTGGCGGACAATAACTTTTTTACAAAATTGATGGTTGAAAAATTAAGAGAAAAAAAAAAGAAAAATTGGTTTTTAAAAAAGATGAATTTTTAGCAAGTATTAAATGTGTGAGGAAGAAAGATGAACGGGTCACAGGAAGAGAAAAGAAAAAGGAGAGGAACACCCTCAACAACAGAAATACCAAAAATGTGAAAAAGAGGATTAACAAATAATAAACACAAAATTGTTAGTAAAATAGAAGAATGAGTAAAATTATATAAAAATGACATTAGCAAATAAGGTCAGATGGAAAAAAATTTTTCTGAAGCAGGCAGAATTATGTTTGAAGCAGGCGGAATTTTTTTTGAAGCAAGCAGAATTTTGTTCTGAAGCAGGTGAAATTTTTCTGAAGCAGGCGGATTTTTTTTGAAGCAGGCGGATTTTTTTGAAGCAGGCGGATTTTTTCTGAAGCAGACGGATTTTTTTGAAGCAGGCGGATTTTTTCTGAAGCAGGCGGGTTTTTATTGAAGCAGGCGGATTTTTTCTGAAGCAGGCGGATTTTTTTGAAGCAGACGGATTTTTTTGAAACAGGCGGATTTTTTTCTGAAGCAGGCGGATTTTTTTGAAGCAGGCGGATTTTTTTGAAGCAGGCGGATTTTTTCTGAAGCAGGCGGGTTTTTTTGAAACAGGCAGAATTTTTCTTGAAGCAGGCGGAATTTTTAAGAAGCAGGCGGATTTTTATGAAACAGGCGGAATTTTTTGAAGCAGGTGGATTTTTTTCTAAGAATCTATTGTCAAAAAATGAAAATACATTTGCCAAAAATATACATAAAAGTGCAAAATAAGAAGCAAAAAATAATATTTTTTAAGAGGAACAAATATTCAAATATTTTTAAATAAATACGTTCAAGTAAAAAAAAAGAAAAATCTTTGCTAGGCACTACCAGCCATGTCTCTTCTCTTTACTTTTTTTCCTACCAAAAATCGGCCCTTATCGGCGCTGTTTTTGGTTTATTTTATTAAAAAAATTTGTTCCTCAAAATTTTTTACCTTTTCTCTCTTACTCACTTGCTTCAATTTTTAAGTGCCCAAAACTGCAAAGAATTTAAAAAAAATTTAAATGGATGCGCGAGGATAGAAAGGAAGAGAAAGGGAGAGAAAGGGAAGAAAATAGAAAAAATTTTTGAAAGTAAAAAAAAAGAAACAAATTTTATGAATTATTAATGTGAGTTAAATAAGGAAGAAAAAATACGCGTTAATGTGTCTTGAAAAATAAAAAAATTTTA